AATAAGTCAACTGACCAAAGTTCAGGGTCACTAGGTTAATGGTCAAGGTCATTTGGGTCCCAAGGTCAAAGACAAAGTGGATCTCTGACTTTGACCCTGGCTCTTGATGTAGGAGGTATATAAGGTGAAATAAAACAAATCAAAGCTAACAAATGAGTATTGCACCGGTATTTACATTTCTGTTAGCCCAGCAAATATGGAGGTGGAAGGAAACAAGACTCACATCATAGTACATGTAAAATGTATATTTTGCTACCTTGCGATTCTTTTTGAAGTCCAAATGTCAAACGTCAAGCTCAGCTATATGGGCAGATTGCTTCTTGATGATTATGGGGGATATATTGCCACAAGACGGGGCCCTTACTGACCTGTCAGTGTTCTAGTTCCAGTCTACTCAGCTGTAAATGAGTATGTGGTTGGGCAGTGCTAGAATTGCAGAATGCTAGCTGTGAGCGCCGAAATGGCAGCACTGGCTGTATATGCTCCCCAGGGATTTGAGAAAGATATTGGCTGGTTGTAAAGGCCCTTTAACCATTGATAATAATTTGTGAACCGCATTATGATGACCTACAAACAAGGTTGCGATAAAGCGGTATATAAGATCCTCAAATTATTATTATACAGATGTTTTCTCGACAGAAAGTTTGATTTAAAGGAGACTAGGGAATTTTTCTGGATAAATGATTATCATAAGGAGATGCTGATTACATTTTGGAACACCTGCTTTTAATCTTCTTGTACTTTTTCAATGGTCTCCATGTAAATCTTTCCTTTATTCATATTGTGCCTTAATCTTACTGATTTTGGTTCAAATTATGATTTTGTTGAAACTTCTGTATTCTCTTGTTAGTTATTTGGAAAGAAGGCCTTCAGATAAATTCATTTACCCCTAAAGACTCATTTGAACTCTTCCAATTCAAAGGTTGGAATAGTTCATTATGAAATTTCAGGGGTGAATGAGTTGATGAAAAACACAATGAAGGTATTTCTTAAAAATTCTTTATTAGATATATACATGTATATACATGGTATAACAAAATCAGGTTGTTATCTCCTAGATGATAATACATTCATTCTATTAAAATGATTTGAATTGGAATATTTTTCAGATGTGATAAAATACATGTTATTAAATTTCATATAAAAACATCAATTGTGACTATATAAAAATAGTTTAAACACGGAACTATCGTACCAGACATTGATCCGATGTATGTTGTTGAGGGTTGTGATGTCTATCGTACCAAACATTGATCGGATGTATGTTGTTGAGGTACTGCGATGTCTATCGTACCAAACATTGATCGGATGTATGTTGTTAAGGTAGTTAAGGTATTGCACAACATTACAATTCTGCTGATTGGTTGCTGATGAGTTAAAAATTCATATGAAATATGTGGACTGATTTATTTCTCAACTTCTAACTGAAGCTTGAAGATTTTTGTGTCAAGTTAAAGGTATTTCAGTCTCCTGAAACTTTCAACTATTAAAAAGGAAAATTATATAAAAAGGAAAATGGTTACAAAAAATCCAAATACTCTAATATCCTTTAGTCTTTCTATTATATGTGCAGACTGAGTATCCAATTACTATAATTACTGATGAACCAATATTTAAGAAATTGCATCTTTGAAGGCCGTAACGGAAACATGATTATTTGCCCGGAAGAAAAAGTCTGCAGTGAAAAAGATGTTAAAGAGTTTGGATAAAAAAAACCCGTCTTCAACACTCAATTGTCAAATGTTTTAAAAAAAAAAAGTATGTCAAGAAAATTTGATTTTCTGTGATACAATGTAACACCAAATATGTACCGGTATTTATACATTTCAAATCTTATATAACTTATTATTTTATTTTGAACAATACACTGTATTGAGTACCTGGTGTATGTATAATATACATTATACTATATATGTACCAGGTAGTTTTTTGGGAATCATATTTTATTAATATTCTTAGCAAACTGAATATTTTGAAAGAATGGCTTAATCTATAATGAATATATACATGCACCTTGTAGTAATCGCTTTGTATGGATGCATACATCCATGCATGGGTCAGTACACAGCTTCTGTACAAGATATCTCAGAAGTATCTTATTATATTTTAGAGGTCATAGGTTAAGGTTAAATATCTCAATTTATGACTACATAATAAATTATATTCCCTGTCTGTTTTACAGACAATGTATTATGAAAGAAAGATTTAAAATTTCCGTTTTTACAAATATGCATCTGTAATCATACTGGCCATGGTATGCCCAGAAAAATTACATGAAATCAACAGGGTTCCCATGTACACACTGTATAACAATGTACTGCAGTCACTACTAGACCAGTATACATACTATATACAAATGAACACTCTTCTAAAAATATTGCAAGGCCTAAGTATAAACAGGAATGACACTGGTTACTTTACTTGCTCATGAGATTAAAATATATGACATGTACTTAATACTAGGCATGATGAAATTGACAAATTACTATTATCTCCAGGTATAACTGATTACTACAATTATTCCTTATCAATCAATTTGTTTACATATAATTGGCAAATTATTTTCTGAGCAAACAAAATTTCAAGTCTATATAAAACGTATCTTACAGCTTTCTTGCACAATCTTCATGCAGCTGTTAATTAGTTTCAAATTTATCTTTCAACTCATTCACCCCTGGAATTTTAAAATGAACTATTTCAACCTTTGAACCAGAAGAGTTCAAATGTGTCTTCAGGCGTGAAAAAGTTAAATCATGCCACATTGCATCATAAAAAGAAAATGACAGTTCATTTATTATAAAGGCAGCACTTTCTATCCGCTCACCGAACATTATACATCTGTGGTCCTCTTCATGAGGTCCACACCACTCGGAAGGTTAGCCGCACCATCAGAGTCGTCGGTGAGATTGATCACGTGGGCGTCACTGCTAATCCCTGTTCCTGAACTGGCTGGAGAATATCTACCTGTGTACCCTCGCTGGACCAGGTATGAAAACAAGGGTGGATCTTGGGGTGGATTGGAAGCCGCACGATGCTGAGAAGGATGGGACTGTTGTGGGACTTGTACGTGGGGCAGCCTAGCTCCTGCCTGGTTTGGAGGCTGAACTGGTCTGAACTGCATTGGGCCAGGCTGTATGGGAACTCCTGGTCGCATTACGGGAGGGTAGTGACCTGTAGCAAACTGTGGCTGTGTTACTGGTCTCACAATAACACCTGGGATTGGAGGCCTGGTTGTAGCCAAAGGGTGACCGATCATTGGATGGCCAATCATAGGTTGTCCCATATTTGTGCCAGCCATGACCGGACCTGGCGGGTAGGCAGCCACACCAAACTGAGGCTGCTGCGGTGGCTGCTGAGGAGGCTGTTTGGCCTCACCATTTCTATTTTTCCCTTTTTTACTTGGTTTTGAATACAAAGCAGTTCTTGGATCGATTTTCTTTTTCTCATCTTCTGAGTCTGACTCAGTTTCTGATGTATCATCATCAGTGGTCTCCGTATTTGATTCGTTCTCCTCGTCGGATGGCCCACACTGAACACTGCTGTCTCTGAGTGCCTCTACATCCTCACTCAGTTCATCATAAACGTCCTCTTCCACTGGCTTCTTAGTTTTGGCTTTTGCTTTGGGTTTCACACTAGGCTTGATGATCCTCTCCACAAACTTCTCCTGTGGATGATCATCTTCTGCCTGTACAAACGACGACTCCATTTCAGAGTTAGAGTCAGAGTAAAGAGAACGTCTTGGAGAAGAGTCTCTTCGTTCTCTGTCAATTTCTCTCCGGTTCCGTCGGTCAAATCTGTCGTCATTCCTGTCTCTATAGCGCCTGTCTTTTCTATCATAGTCCTCATCTCTGCTATCGTAACGATCACGTCTCCGGTTGCGACTATCGTGATCATCCCTATTATGTCGCGTTGACTTGTCGTAACGCTCGTAGGGCGGAGGTGGAGGTGGGTAGCTTCTGGGAGGACCATCTGAAATAAGATGTAGATAATATCCATTGAGGAGTTTTACAGAATTTGAATAGCAATGCTTAATTAATTGTTCTAGTTAATTTTAACAGGTGATTTTGCAATTTCAAATGGATAGGCTGCTTATCTTAAGAGAACATTTTCCATCTCATTACTTAGCTATTTTCCAGAAGATAAAAAACAAGCGAGCTATTTTCCAGAAGATTAAAAACAAGCGTCTAACGTATTCAGCTATCTAAATATTTATAAGTAAGAAATGTTCAAAGTGATAAATTGATCTAGGAAATAACTTCAGAAGTCCAAAAGAGTGTTTGGGGACTGCAATTTTCAATTTGCTTTTCTATGCTTTATAGATTTATAGATTACATATCTAGACCTAGATCTAAAAGCACTACTTATACTTGCCACTCTGACTCAATGGAATGACAAGATTGTATTGTTCATAAAATCTTAATCCCCGCCCAACCAAAAAAGAACCCAACAACTCAAACCTAATGTTTTTATTACATAATCATTCATGTTTGAACAAATTACATTGCACCAAACATATATAAAATATTACTCACCATCAAAAACACTATCATCATCCTCACTTAGCCTGCCCCTGCTACGGTAAGGTTTGTTTACGCTGGATAGACCCATTTTAGAGCTCTGTGAGGCCCACAGTTTGGACTTCGTGTCATGTGAAGTGGCCCGCACGCTACCCTTGCTGGTGCTGATGTTTGCCGCTGTGTTAGTCTGGCCGAGTTTGAACTCATCCCATCGTCGATTCACTCCTTTGGATTTACGATAGCAGCAGATGATGACGATGGGAGCGATGACGAAGAGAATGAGTCCAAAAACTCCACCAACAATCCCAAGGATGATTTCCTTGGTGACGGGAGACTGATAGAAATAGTAGTTACACCCAGGTCCCTCTCCACCTGGGCACTCGTCAATGACGCTGACATCACCTGTTACCATGGACAAATATTTGTATGACTCATTTACATTTCCTAAATCAGTGTTATTTTCATTATATCAATTTCAATTCAGGTTACTTGTTTGAGATCCTGTAAAGTTAATTGAGTGTTAAACTTCTTGAAAGCAAACTCTTGCAATAATGATGTTTATATTTTTCCATAATTGAAATCAAATGATAGCATTCTTTTCACAGACAAAGATATACTGTATATATCCCGAAACTTTCGCTCAGACAAAACTTACCCTCCACCTATAATCAATAATCATTAAGTGTAAATTTCGTCCTTTATATTTATTTACTATAAGGGTATGCAGTGCACTTACATTTACAATAATGATTAATTCGCCAACAAATATGGAGGGTGAAAGGTAAATTGCTGCAAAAATGTCCTGGCATACAGTATACCAGAATATAATAACATCATCGCCATGCCATCTTACTTGACATAAATAGAGTACTGTATTTGCCATAATTAGTGCCCATGTCTCTTGGAAAAATTGGGTGAATGGGGCGCTTATTAAGATAAGAAAAAATTGGCTGTAAAGGCGCAGCCATAACTGCACAGTCAACATTTTCACAAGGAAAAATTTAAATATTGCTCTCTTTTTATTATCTAAAACACTGGAAAGCAGTTTTGTCAGACTGCAAGGTGAGTGTCTGATATAAAGTATATTTAGTATTATATTTTGTTAACAGAAGAGGGCCCGAATGAAGGGTGTTTGGGAAAATGGGGCCGATATCGCTTCAAAGTGCCCTGAAAAAGGGAGGGGCGCTAATTACAGGGAATACAGTAAAACATACAAGATTTATGACTTTATAATGAAGGGTTAAAATTGAGTTTTGGGAAGTTTGAGAACAATGCTGCTTCTTTACCTGGAATACTGATGATGTGACACTTGATGTTGTAGTCAGCTTGTCCCGCATAAGCTTTGACAAGTTGGAAGGTCACGAATCCTCCAGAGGTGATCAACGGTTGAAAGTTGGCAGGTTTGTCCTTTCCGAACCCAAACCCATACTACAGAAAGAAAAATTAAGTAAATTATCTGACAAGTCAAGTTTAACACATCCTCAATATCTAGGGGTTTCACTCACTTTCGCTCTCTGCACCCCTGGAATATGTCATGGCAAAATTGAAGGCTGGGTGTGCACCACCTTGTAGATGAGACGAGAAGACTAGCTTTGATCTTTTGCTGTACATCAAATGAATCTGTCAGTGGCATAACAGTAAAATTAACAGGCTTTGAAGTCGGGTGTTGCTCCTCTGTAATCTTCAAAGGACAGTGTCAGCCTAGCGATTGGTCAGGTGTTTTTTGCCACAGACCAATCAAATAGCTAGCCCTATGCCTTCAATTTTATTATGATATATTCTAGGGGTGCAGAGAATGTAAGTGAGCGTAATCCATGAAGTATCAAGTAAGAGTTAAACAAAAGTCTAGATATACAAGACAGTGTACACTTATTATATAGCAAATAAAAGAGGAAGTCCAGACCACAGAACAATTCATTGTATGTATTTTTCATTTTTTTCATGTATTTTTTTTTTTAAAGTACATACACTTAATTTATTTTACAACAATTATGGAACAAGTTTTATTAACTTAATGTTAATTTAGAACTTTTGTTGGCTCCCATGATAAGTGTGCGGCAGGTGTTGGCGTCTAGGAGGAAATCAAAGTACCATAGGCAGACCCATGTGTTCAGGCAGGTGACCAATACCTACTGTTTAGCTCACCTGGCCTGAAGGGCCAAGTGAGCTTATGCCGTGGTGCGGGCGTCCAGCATCAATATTTTACTTTAAACAACTTCTTCTCAATAACCAAAATGTCCAGGGTGATGATATTTGGCCAGTAGCATGCTGGGATGAAGGGCTACCAAGTTTGTTCAACTGAATGACCTTCACTTATATTCAAGGTCACATGGGTCAATTGTCTTAAAAAACCTTTATACAACTTCTTCAGAATAACAGAAAGGACGCGTATGGTGATATTTGGTCAGTAGCATGCTGGGTGAAGGGCTACCAAGTTTGCTCAAATAAATGACCTTCACCCATATTCAAGGTAACAAAGGTCAAATATGTTCAAAACTTTAAACAATTCCTCTGAATAACCAAAATGCCCAGGGTGATGATATTTGGTCAGTAGCATGCTGGGGTGAAGGGCTACCAAGTTTGTTCAAATAAATGACTTTGAATTATTTATGAGGTCACTAGGATAGAATATGTTCAAAATCTTCAAACAACTTCTTCTGAATAACCCCAATGCCAAGGATGATGATACTTTGCCTGTAACACGATGGGATGAAGGGATTCCAAGAAGTTTGTTCATTATATTCAAAGTCACAGGGGTCAAATATGTTAAAATCTTTAAACAACTTCTTCTGAATAACCATAAGGCCTAGAATGTTGATATCTAGTCAGTAGCATGCTGGGATTAAGGGCTACCAAGTTTGTTCAAGTGAATGACCTTGAATATATTCAAGGTCACAGGGGTCAAATTTGTTTAAAATTTATAAACTGCTTCTTCTGAATAACCATGAGGCCCAGAATGTTAATATTTGGCCAGTATGAAGGGCTATCAAGCTTTTTCATTTGAATGACCTTGACCTACTTTCGAGGTCACATTTAGTCAATATGTTCAAACATGAAAATTACCTAATTTCAATAAACAAAAGGATAGGGTGGTGATATTTTGCAAGTTGCATTCTGAAATGAAGGACTATAAAATTTGTTCAATATAATGACCTTGTTCGACTTTCAAGGTCACAGTGAAATGTTTTAAAATCTTTTAACAGGTTCTTTTGAATGACTTTAAATCATAAATACTGATAGTTTGCCTTGAGCTTTATTTAAGATCACTTTTAAGGTACCAAGTGTGAGATGTATACCAGGTGGGTGCTGCAGGCCCATTGGGCCCTTTGTTCACTTCTGATCGGAGAATGGAATGCTGGCTGTCTTGGTGAAAGGCAAGTGCACTTATACCTGTTCTACCCAGCCACCATTTTTTAAACAGCTAGAATTCAAAAAGGTCTATGTGAAATGTGATGAGCTCACCAGCAAAGTGTCTGTTGTAGAACTGTCGTAGACATAGAACTGTACTCCATCAGCATCGAAGCTTGCACTAATGACCTCTATCCTGAACTTGCGTTTCTCACGGACACTGTCAGTGCTGAATGTGATCTGGCAGGTCTTTGGGGGTTGCTGCTCTAACAAAGCACCGTGACCGTGCAGAAGGGCGTTGTTCTCTCCAATGTCATACTGCTTGTTACACTCAGCATTGGAGTCCATGAAAACTGAAAAGACATATACAAACAGGGATACTTTAGAATAGGACAGAAATGACAAAAATAATTCCAGTCTATTGAAATTTTCCCACATAAATTCAGAATTAAGCAAAATTATCCATATTCACTTGAAAAAATATACAGGAAATTAAATTTTCCTGAGAGATTATTGATGTAAAAAGCTTACAGTTTTCCTTGGTGTTTGTAGGGTTTTGGTTTTCCCAGCTTGCCCATTGGGCAGTTATCCCCAAGGGGGTCAACAGCAACACCCATATGGGTGTAGTCCACACGAAAAGCATGCTTCTGCTTTGCCTTCTTACATTTCCAACGTAATTGTGCCCCTTAGAACGAAAAATGTATAATAATATCATTAAAACTTTTATCATGTGGTTATGATAATGCATGGTAGGTAAAAAAGCTAGGGTATCATTTTACACAAATTTCAATATGAGTAACACAATAAGAATTGATTGTACATTGCATGTTGTGTTGGGTTGGACCAAGATCTAAGATTTGGACCAAAGAGCAACTCTAATGTTGCAGGACTGAGCTCAGGTACCTTGATCGGTTTGTGCATCCGAGTTCGGAGGTCACAGGTTTGAATCCCTATCTAGGTTACAGAGTAGTGCCTGTGACCAACCCTAGATAAGCCCAAGTTTCCTCTGGCCCTGACCAGATTAAGACATTTTGGCAGATAGATGTCTGGTTGGCCCACACCAGACATCCATCTGTCAAAATGTCTTAATCTGACAGAGGAAACTCAGTCTGAGCCCAAGTATATAACTGTTACGGCGGATGTAAAAGACGTACATAATTATATATATATAAGTACATGTACAGTTTTACTTACTCACTCAGATATCAGGACGTGAATTCCAACAGTCAATTATCAATTCATTTGTGAACAATACCTGAACATAAATGATCACGCGACCCCTCTATATTCTATACATACTGATATACTACATTAGTACAATTTACATGCACCGCTTAATTAGTTAATAAAACATAAATATACTTAATATAGCGTAGTTAATTGTTGGTATTTCGAATTAATATTTTCTTATTATTTATACACCATATACCATCGAGTTGTTTGAACAACATCCGTATGTGTACCTGTTAACAACAAGGAACTATAAGCAGTGATATACAGCGCTACTGTATTTGGTCAAATTGTTACCAGATCAATAAATCCGTGATTCATTATGTTTATCCAATAATATCAACTTAAACAAACTATAATGTTTGAATGAAGAAAATGTATTAAATTCTTTGTAGATTATCAGACCGTGATAGAAATCTTACCTGTGTTTCCTGACGTCTTCAACGGTCGCCATTTTTTAATTGTTTACCTGAGCAAGGTAAAACCAGTCGATAAAACGGTTGTGAGTCACTGTGTTAACATGTGAAGGGTTGTGCAACTATCTATAGGTACAGATAGATGACACAGTAAAGCCGGTCATACCCAAATACTAAAGATAGGACATTACATCAACAAGGTTAAAACAGAGTGTGTGTTTTTTACTCAAAGTCTATATAATATTCGACGGCACTAAATCGATGTTTTGAATAACACCGAAAAATATTTCATATTTCAAAATGGAATTGTGTAGCATAGTTTTAAAAGTTTCGTTGGCAGGTAATTATAAGGGGAGGGGGTTTATTTATTTTCATGAATCCCCGCACCCATTTTTCAGAGAAAAGACTGTTATATAATTCAGGATGATATGTCTATGTCATATGTTGAGACTGAATTTTCACTCATACTATAGATATATTCCGAATATTAGTACAAAAGTGCAAATAAAGTATAAGTGAATTTGGTCTTACTCTAGGCTTCTGTTCCTACCCGTTCCAGGCGTCGTTTCTGGGCACTTACCAAGTTGGCTTGTGCCCCACTATAGTATATACAAAGTTTTGACCCTTTGTTTATTTATTTTTGTATCGAAGTTTTTCCAAGCAGAGACGTATACATTACAGTAATATGTACGTGTCTGGGCCAAGGCATAACTTTAAACCTTTAAAGACATCTTGATCAAACTTTAAAGTATACCTACATCACCAACAGAAGGTGTGCAGTGCACTGGAATTAGGTGTCGTGCCCCATTATATACATAGTTATGGTAAATTGTTTATTATGCCGAAGTTTGTCCTAACTTCTGTATTATTTCACCTACGTTGACCAAACTTGCTATAGTTATGTATCTTGGGAAGTAGGAGTGTCGAATTCCAATATCGGGTCTCGTGACCCACTGTATAAAGAAATATGGCCATTTGTTAATTTTTATACCGAAGTTTTTCTGTAAAATAAGTTCTATGTTATTTCTCCTTCGTTGCAAAATAATTTAAAAGTTTAATGGTTTAGAATTTACACACCTTAATCTTGATGTGACCTTTCTATTCTTCCAAATCGGCTGATAAGGAGACTAGTTATTTTACCTATTTCTGGCTGGAACAAGACAAACATTGATTTTGTTTAATTTACCTGGATTGTTATTTCCGTTTATTACAACACGATGATAGAATCTTTAATTTAGTAAATAGTCCTTCAGTTGATTCATAAAGAATAAATTGGTCATCCACAAAAAATGCTTTATTATTCACCAGCTTTAAAGGAAAAAATTAATTCAACAGTTACATTTCTATGTCATTAATATACAAATAAAAAAGAACGAGACTTTCTAACGATCCCTGACCCACCGAGGCAAAACACAAAAAAATCATACGTACAGTAACCTCCCCTTAATTTCACTACCGCTGATCAAGTACCAGTTCAGTTGACTAGAGCACGTACTTAGATAGCAATCTAATTCCGAGGTTAAAGCGACCTTAACTTAAATTGGGTATATGTTACTGGAGGTCCAAGGTTCGAATCCTGGTTGACCCCGTTGCATTTTCAGTCTGCTCTCTCTTAGAACATTTTCATTTTCATTTGATTTTTTTCATAAAAGTGGGTTTGAGAATTAGCAGAGACGTATACACTACATGGCTTTGTATGTCTCTGGGTCGATATACAATGTACAAATCTTTTATTTAGTACTACAGAATTCGTATAGCCGGTAATATGCCTCAGCCAGAGACTGTCTGAGACATATTACCGGCTATACGAATACATTTCAATCGGTACATCATCAGTCTATTGTAGTACAGGCATTATATGACATGACCTCACACAAATTGCAACAGAAACTCTTTCAACTGGTTTATTCTCATAAATGTGTCTTGTATAACATATCAAAAGTCCTAAGGAATCAAAGTGGTGGAAAGTATTGAAAAGTGCTGAAATCGGTGATGGCATTTTCCCCCTATTGCCATCCATGTTAAAAAAGGTTATTTACACAAAGGTTTCAGAACTATCAACAATCTACCAGAAACTATTATTTACATGCGACATGCAATTGGCTGCAGTACAGTGCATGTTCGAAAGGAAAATTACCACAAATTGAAGTGATTTGCAAAATTCATGTGGACAGAATTTATTGCAAAAACGGTCAAATTGAACGTTGCAAAAAGTGCAATCAGTGAAATTCATGTGTAGTTATTTGTCACAGTTACTGTTCTTTAAACCTGAACACATGGATATGGTAGACATACTATGCAAGGTTCTGAGAGCAGAACATACAGGAAACTGGGCACTGCACATTGAAGCAATATCTGAAATGCTTCCTTTCATGGCAGCTTCTGGGCACAATCTCTATACGACATCGGCTCGGATATATGTGCAGCGAATGTGCAAGGTGGAACATCCAGATGTCTACCAGTGATTTGAAGAGGGATACTATATGGTTAAAAGAAGTGATCGCCTATGGGCTGGCTTCTCATTAGATCTCATCATCGAGCAGGTGCTGATGAGGAGCATGAAGACCAGTGGTGGCCTCACAAGAGGTCGAGGGCTGACAGAGCAGCAGCGTGTAACATGGCTCCTCGCTATGCCAGCTTGCGCTGAAGTCAACAATGCCATGCATCTCCATGAAAAGAAACCCCTTCTGCCCTGATCCAAGCTTGCGCAATGTCTCGACAGAGGTCCATGCACACATTGATGTGAATGTTGACAAATCAAAGTCCATCGGCTAAGATGAATGGACAAACCACGACAAAGAAAACACATTCAAGAAGAGGGATCAGGCAATCACCTTGAGCACTCAATCCTCAGTGAAGATTGGTTTCGAAGCAGTACAGGTGGATCCTCAACTACTTTTCCAACGACTCACGGTTGTTGTAAAAGCATCACGAGGTATGGCATCAGTGTTTAAGTACGAGCTGTACAGTCATCCACCAGCGCTGTTTGACACCTCACTGCTGCTTCGACAGCCAATGAAACCAGTGCTAGCAGATGTCATATGGTCCCTCCTCACACCTGACCTTCCAGGGATCACAGGTCAAGTTCAGTACGTGCTTGATGGTGAGCACTTGTTCATCGCATCCCATGGACACGTGGATCCGCATACAATTACATCTGCAGGTTGTACACTGACTACGTCACAAGGAAGTATGGAGAGGCAATTGTTGTGTTTGATGGTTATGAGGGCACATCCACCAAGGACATGTCACACCAGAGACGAAGGACTCGAGCAACCGTGACTTTTGATGAGGACATGTCTGTTACAATAAAGAAAGAAGAGTTCCTCGCAAACAACACAAACAAAAAACAGTTTATCAACATGATCAGTATCCATCTGCAGAAGAAAAACTGCCAGACGTTTCATGCCCCAGGTGATGCTGATCTCCTCATAGTGCACTGTGCTCATTGGTGATGATACCGATCTGCTTATACTCCTCATCTATCATACCAACCTCGAGTCAAATGACCTCTTCTTACAACTAGAGCACGAAGAACCCACGTGTCTGGAACATTCAAGGCTCTCGAGCAGCAGCTGGGTCCTAGTATGTGCACGCACATCCTCTTCGTCCATGCGATCCTTGGGTGTGACACTACCTCCCGCCTGTACGGCATTGGTAAAGGAGCTGCCCTCAAGAAATTCATAGCCGGTTATGACTTCCGTGAGCAAGTAGTGTTCGGCACACCGTCAGCTTCCACAGCAGATAGTGTGGCAGCAGGAGAGAATGATTTTGTGTTCTTGTACAATGGGAATCCTGGGGAGGGACTCAACTCACTACAGTACAACCGTTTTTGTGAGAAAGTGGCTACTAGCACTTCAAATGAACAGCTACAGAGCCTATCACCTACTTCAGAAGCGGCACAATTTCACAGTCTCCGTATGTACTAACATGTGCAGCAGTGAAAGGGAACCGTATATGAACTCCTGCCCCAAGACTGGGGTTGGAAAGAGAGTGATGGGGTGCTTTTTCCTGTTCAAACTGACTTACCGCCAGCTCCACAGGAACTCCTGCAGGTCATCAGATGCAGCTGCAAGACAGATTGTAGCAGCCTGAGGTGAACATGTAAGAAGCATAACATTGAGTGATCTGTTACATGTATCAACTGCAACGGGTCAGGGTGTGCTAATTCATTTCTAGTATTATATAGCATAAAAGTGATGTTACTTTAAAATATTGTCTTAGGAAGCACACGACTTCTTATCGTTATGCATTATTATTTGTGTTGAACATCAGTGCATGCATTATTAACCCTTTGCCTCATATAGACTATTTCTGACGCCTCTGCAGCAGACGGATTTTTGAAAACATAGTGAAAAAAGAAGAAATTACTCAAAACGAGCAATTTCTCCTTTTGACACAATGATTTCCACTTTTAGTCATAGGTTATCCATCAAATTATAGAGATTTTCTATTTTTTGACACATGTTCAAAGTCGTCTGCTGCAGAATTGTCGTAGCTAATAAAGGGTTAAAGTATATATGTCAGACCATAATAAATGGATATAAACCATCTAGACGTCTGATCAGAAGGCACTGGTCATCTCGATAATAAAATCAGACCATCTCCCTATCAGAAGTCACTGGTCATCTCAATAATAAAATCAGACCATCTCCCTATCAGAAGTCACTGGTCATCTCAATAATAAAATCAGACCATCTCCCTATCAGAAGTCACTGGTCATCTCAATAATAAAATCAGACCATCTCCCTATCAGAAGTCACTGGTCATCTCAATAATAAAATCAGACCATCTCCCTATCAGAAGTCACTGGTCATCTCAATAATAAAATCAGACCATCTCCCTATCAGAAGTCACTGGTCATCTCAATAATAAAATCAGACCATCTCCCTATCAGAAGTCACTGGTCATCTCAATAATAAAATCAGACCATCTCCCTATCAGAAGTCACTGGTCATCTCAATAATAAAATCAGACCATCTCCCTATCAGAAGTCACTGGTCATCTCAATAATAAAATCAGACCATCTCCCTATCAGAAGGCACTGGTCATCTCAATAATAAAATCAGACCATCTCCCTATCAGAAGGCACTGGTCATCTCAATAATAAAACCAGACCCCCCCCCCAATTCAAATACGTGTATAGCATTAAATATGTTGTTAGAATGTCGCTCAATATCTCATTATAAAGTAACATAAAATGGTACCAGAGTACGGTTAAGAAACCATTTTTAGAATTACTTTCCACCACTTGGATTCCTTAGGACTTTTTATTGTTATAGATGACACGTTCATGAGTAATAAACAATTGTCAGATATTCTGTTGCAATTTGTGTGAGGTTCAGCCCTTATTTGTCGCAAAATGCCTGGACTATCTAGTAAATCAGAGGTCCCGGGTTCGACCCTTGGCGGAGGCGCAGAAAACCCCCACCAATGGCCTCTGTAGAATCCCGGACATAGGTAACAATCTAATTCCGTGTATACAAGTGGTCGATGGACTGCAATTGTGGAATTTGAGAAAAAAGTTAATAGTACCCAATAATACAAAAAGTGACTAGGGTCCTGGGACTTCAAATCAGCTGAAAATCAGCACTGTTGGCTAAACTTGATGGTTGGTGTTTGTGTACGAAAGCGCTGGACTTTGGCCATACATGAAATTTATTACAGATTTTTTTTTTTTTTTAAATTAATAATAAACTTTATTTGCTGTTGAGATTAACCAAATTAGTATTTTCTATATTGAAAAGGCAATAAAGCCAATTTTTCCAAGGTTGATTAGAAAGGTTTTTTAGCCGATGGTTCAATATGTTTTCAATACAATTAAATCAGAGAAGTATATACTGTATATGTCTCTTGGTTAAATAAATGATTAGAATTATTTTTAAATGCCCTTTTAAGTGAGAAAAATACAGTTTCCCTGATGTTGATTGGTAGATTTTTTTTCAGTGATAACATTTATATATCCATTGCTGAGAAAAAAACACCAAAACTAAATCTTCATGTTAAACCCGTAAACTGACTCACTGGACCATAATAAATAGATACATAGATTGTATTCTGGTAAAATTATTATTTTACAATCCAGTCAGCTCTGAATTATTACATGTAAATTACATGAAATCAAAGGCTTACATGACTTCTCATGTATTGTGTATCAAAAAAGTATACATATATATGCCGAAATCAGCCACCCAAACACTGCGTGTTGTTAACACATGTCATACCAATGTCTGAGGTATTTTTAGTTTTCAAGGATATTCCGCAATTTACCTGTGAAGGCGTTGGGGTTTATTATCGACTATTTTAGACTTCAGCTGGCGGCGTTCACAAAGGTGTAGTAAGTGGGTCATTCCAGGTGATGTATATATATATTATCAGTGAATTGTAAATATGGCGAAGGTTCTGCGATCACCGTGACAAAACCGTGGGAATATCGACAAAACCAGGAATTAACATCAATTAGGTGAGTTCGGAGGCGAGGAGCCTGTCAAACAACGGTAGAAATTTAGAATGAAATCAAATCAAGCTGTTTACAATCTGGTATACAGTACACAACGGTATCAAACGTTATTTTTATTCAACAGGAAATGATAAGAGATAGGGCTATGCTTGACACGGCCAGTGAACCCTGTCAGTTGTTCTTCTTATACCAACAAAAAATACTGTTTCACCACGGACTTAGATAAGAATCTAATTCCGTGGTTTTACTTAAAGCGCCTCGATGTAAAATTATCCCCCTTTATATTTAGTTATCAGATTTAGGTGTACTGAGAATCATAAAATTATTGCTTTATCATGAGCATCATTTCCTATCTGGTGACAGCGATAATTTATCAATAGTAAACCCTAATCAAAGCTACTAATGTCAGTGTTTTTGACAGAACAAATATGATACCTCGATCGTGTGTGATCATATAGGTATCTGCATTGAAAAAAAGGGGCAGATATATATCTGATACTATACACATGATGTTCTCCATTTTTCTGAGGCAGTCAAACAACACTAGGAGACCCACGTGCACCTGTCTCTACACTTAATTTTATTTTTCAAACGATGGTAGTATATAGTGGGTCCTGATTCCTAAGACCCCCCCCCCCCCCCCCCNGAAAGAAATTGTCCCCCCCCCCACCACCACCACCACCACCACCACTTCCCGATATTATTATAGGGACAGACAGACATCAATTAAGTGGTGAGGAATTTTGACTTTTTTAAAGCCCATATAATAATTATATAATAGTTAGAATATTAGTATTCGTTTGCTTATTTTTTTAAGCAATACAAAATTCACATAATATAGAACATGTCTTAAATCTCTTTATACAGGAAAATACATCCCTAGACCCTGTTTATGCCTTCCCCTACTACAAATCTTGTCTCTATGCCTAAGATACAACGTACAGTTATAAACTTTTGTTCAATTAGCAAATGAGATTATTTGATTGACATAATTGTACAGTTAAATTGTAACCATCCTGTTTATTTGGCCATACAATCCACAAAATGTCTTGTAGGACGGTACATATTTTCAATTCAATGCCAAATTGTATATACTTTCATTCTATGTGTATAAGAAAGTGACAGATTTTGACATATACAGACTTTTATCTAACAGTCCTGTTAAATTGTACAGGAAGTAGGGAACTATCCAAGAGAACCTACATCTCATAATAAAAGCCCACATGTATGATATTATCTCATCTTAAAGGTTTCAGGAGCAACGAAAACGAAAGTAAAATAAAGGACTAGTAACTCATAAGGTCAGGTTTCTATGAAGTATATTCTGCTGCCTGGTGACTTTCTGTCCTGTTAAACGTAAGACGTGTGGTCCAGTTCTATTCCATCATATTGATCATTCTTGTTCTGTGGTAGGAATAGAATATACTGCAACATCGGGCAGATGGGTGTCAATTGAAATACACTCATGTATCTGTTTTAATGTATGATGGCTAATTTTACCCCAGAAATGACTGATGCCCCCTTCCACCTGTTAGTATATATGTACATGTGTTGATGCACAATCCATCAACCTTCCCCCATCTCTTTGGATACAAGTCACCACCGCTGTGTTCACAAATTATGAACAGAATGTTCTATTTGAATAACCTACGTAAAACAAATTTAGTTATGTTTATTGTAATAGGTTAAACAGTTATCTAATTTCGCCTTTTTATCTCATGACCAGATCCAGGACTATGTAGTTGCAGTTCAGCCAGTCCACCTTTCCTAACATGCCACGATCACGTTGGGATTTGCTGCTGCTGCAGCTGATGGCAGCCAGCCTCTTCTCACCTGTGATTGCCTTCAATGTCAAGAATAGTAAGTCATGAAATTCATGCTCATGCAAAAATGATGCTAATTTAATTAAGTTATACGTTCAGTTGGAAAGTAAGAAATAATAACATGTGAAAATAAGAAAATATTAAGAAGTTTAAAGGATTTAACAAGAAATGTTAATGAAATATATATTGAAAACTGAATGTCAGATAAAGTGTGAAAGGTAGCATATAACCTTTACTCTAACACAAATCACAAGTATAATGTGAAAGGTAGCATATAACCTTAACTCTAACACAAATCACAGGTATGATGTGTAAGGTAGCATATAATCTTAACTCAAACACAAATCACAAGTATGATGTGTAAGCTAGGTAGCATATAACCTTAACTCTAACACAAATCACAAGCATGATGTGTAAGGTAGCATATAACCTTAACTCTAACACAAATCACAAAATTATAACTCTAACACTAAACACAGGTATAATGTGTAAGGTAACATATAACCTTAACTCTAACACAAATCACAAGTATGATGTGTAAGGTAATATATATCATTATAACTCTAACACTAAACACAGGTATAATGTGTAAGGTAACATATAACCTTAACTCAAACACAAATCACAAGTATGCTGTATAAGGTAGCATATAACCTTAACTCTAACACAAATCACAAGTATAATGTGTAAGGTAACATATAACCTAAAACTCTAACACAAAACACAAGTATAATGTGTAAGGTAACATATAATCTTAACTCAAACACAAATCACAAGTATGATGTGTAAGCTAGGTAGCATATAACCTTAACTCTAACACAAACCACAAGCATGATGTGTAAGGTAGCATATAACCTTAACTCTAACACAAATCACAAGTATGATGTGTAAGGTAACATATAACCTAAAACTCTAACACAAATCACAAGTATAATGTGTAAGGTAACATATAACCTAAAACTCTAACGCAAATCACAAGTATAATGTGTAAGGTAACATATAACCTTAACTGTAACACAAATCACAGCTATGATGTGTAAGGTAGCATATAACCTTAACTCTAACACAAATCACAAGTATGCTGTGTAAGGTAACATATAACCTTAACTCTAACACAAATCATAAGTATAATGTGAAAGGTAGATGTGAAAGGTAGATGTGAAAGGTAGCATATAACCTTAACTCTAACACAAATCACAAGTATAATGTGTAAGGAAACATATAACCTTAACTCAAACACAAATCACAAGCATGATGTGTAAGCTAGGTAGCATATAACCGTAACTATAACACAAATCACAAGTAGGATGTGTAAGGTAGCATATAAACTTCACTCTAACACAAATCATAAGTATGCTGTGTAAGGTAGCATATAACATTAACTCTAACACAAATCAAAAGTATGCTGTGTAAGGTACCATATAACCTTAACTGTAACACAAATCACAGCTATGATGTGTAAGATAGCATCTAACACAAATCACAGCTATAATGTGTAAGGTCACATATAACCTTAACTCCAACACAAATCACAAGCATGATGTGTAAGGTAGCATATATAGCTTACCTCAAACACAAGTCACAGCTATGATGTGTAAGGTAATATATATCATTATAACTCTAACACTAAACACAGGTATAATGTGTAACTAAGGTAGCATATATAGCTTAACTCAAACACAAGTCACAGGTATGATGTGTAAGATAGCATCTAACACAAATCACAGAATAATTTGTATGGTAGCATATACACAAATCACAGGTGTATGGTGTGTAAGTTGAAATGTATCAAAATGGTTTTAATTTTTTCCTTTGTTTCAGTTTACATGGATTCAATAGCTAGCTGTAACTCCAGACATACCATCTATGACTTTGATATCGTGCTCGGAGGCCACGATTCAGTGGCGTCCTCCAACCCTCCCACTACCTGCCAGGTGATCATAGAGGCCGGTTATACGGACACCTACTTCATGCTGGAGATCATACAGGAAGCCATCACTATATCTGACTGTAGCTTCTCACTCAACATTTATAATGGGGAGGGCACTGTTGGTGTTCCTTTGGTAAGTTACCAGCCGTTTCTTTTTTGATATATAATGAAATGTCTCTATTTACTGACTGTTGTGGTTTTCCCAGGTACAAAAGAATTGTGAATATTAGTATAACTATTACCTGTATAGCCTCCACTCCAACAAACAAACAAAAGTTTTCAATTTTCGTGCAAAAAACAACAAATGTTTTGGATTGACAAATTAGATTGATGAACTTGTTGTGTATGTGCAGTATATTGGATCAGTATACATTTTTGTACTTCATACAAAATGCAAAATTTATTCTGTCAACTCCTGAAATATTGAAACTTAACGGATTGTAATATTCGAGACAATGGTATGATTAATGTTAAACTGTCAACGCTACCTTATCAATGTATATACAGTGAATAATCAGTATTTCTAAACCAAAATATACATGTATGACTTGAATCAACTGACTGGATGGCACACCAATGAAAATATATGTAAACCTAACTTTTTTTTATAAAAATAACTTCCAAGATATTGCTATGCAGGTATTGGAGTTTGGACTGTGTGACTCGCCCACATTCATAAACATGTTGAATTTAATGATGTTAAGAATGTAAAAAAAATTGATGTACTGGGAAAATCGCTTAATTTTATCAATAGTTTGATCAACTGACATGTGTATAGGAATTGTGTTGTTACCTGGTAATAATAAAGTTACTTGTATCATTATTTAAAATACAAAAATCACCAAATATCACCCAAAAATCAAAACAATGCAAAAATCACCAAATATCACCCAAAAATCAAAACAATGCAAAAATCACCAAATATCACCCAAAAATCAGAACAATGCAAAAATCACCAAATATCACCCAAAAATCAAAACAATGCAAAAATCACCAAATATCACCCAAAAATCAAAACAATGCAAAAATCACTGAACAAGTTCAACAATAGAGATGTTTAATTTTGTGTTGACAGAAAAGTTTGTCATGTGGGTCAAAGAGTACCGGTGTTTTGTACACCAAGGGAAGGATTGCCACCTTCTACCTCCGTCAACCAAGGGACATATTCCAGCCGAAGAACGACTTCAGCCTTAGGATCAAGGCCTTTCGTAAGTGTGCAGCCTAAGGGAAATTGATTTCGTAATTCAAACATGAATTTTATACACATTGCTCCCTGTTTCCTAAAGATCATGATCATATCTGTATTACTGCCAAATACTGTAAGACATAAGATTAAACTTAAAGGTCCGTGTCCTGTCTCTGTACTTAGAAGTGACATGACGTTGTTTAAATCCACTGCGGTCGATACTCTCCCTTAGATTGTGTTCTGTACATAAGTACCTTTGATACAGAGGATATCTTCTTGGATATTTTTTACCAGGGATTGAAATTATCAGATTTGGTTTTTTTTTATCATTATTATTTATATATTATATATTGTACATCTATTTTTCAAATTTTAATTCACCTGTTTTTTTGTTTAGGAGATCCTAATGCCCCAGAAGTTGTCGAGGGCATATCCCATCTGCCAGTAGGGGCCATCGTCGGTATTGTTCTTGCTCTGGTGTTACTGATTGCCTTCATCATCCTCCTTTGTTGGTGTTTTAAGAATGGAAAGCTGCCCGGTATGGATGGAAGGCCGTACAAACAGCGTCCGAAGCGTAAACCACAGGATCGGTCGGAGTCTGGGACAGTCAATTCTGCATTCTCTGAGAAAAAAGTGTCGATGAATCCCTCTCGTAATAACAATTTTAATCTGAACAATCAGGACTTGTGGGACACAATGACAAATGCATCACAAAGTTCCATGGCTTCCCTCACTACTGGACAGCCCACCGGTAAAAACTACAACAAAAATATGATTTCAAGGGATGGGACCAATGGCACGGGTAGGCCTAGACGGGGACAATATAGCGTGAGCAACGATTCGGCTGTGTTGGCGGGAAACTTGGCAAAGAATGCCAATAATGGTGCTATAGCAACTAGCCAGGAAACAGACGTAGATCAAATGTACGAGAACTACGATAAACCAGCAGCTAGTAGTACAGTCAGTAGGCCGGGACGACAAAGGAAACCACAGGAAAGTAATGAAACAGAGACAAAGCGTCCAAAGTCAGGTAGGTTTGAAACTCCAGATGAGGAAAATAAGGAAGCTACAGAAGAAAAGCCAACTGGCATATTAGCAGAGCTGCAGAAGGAGCTCTCCAGGAGGAAAAGTATGAAAGAGGGCAAGGAGACAGACATAAATGACACGGCCCCCGGTGGACCATCATCCAAGAGGAGGGGGCCCGGGGTAAAGGCTCTTCTCCCAGAGGAGATGGACTCGCTAGAAGACACTAAATTTATGGCTCTTGATCAGCAGAGCGAGCCCTTAGAGTCGGATAAGATGTCTAATCCAATGTTAAGCAGCTCTAATCCAGCCATTCGTGCCTCTGTCAATGAACTCCGACCCAGGACAGAGGGGTCTCCTAGATCCAAGAAAAAGAAGAGAAAGAGGAAGAAGTCTATCAATGACTCTGGTCCTCGGAGGCACAGGAATGCGCCTGACACAGGCGACGAGTATGAGCCAGATCATCCCACTGGCTATACCACAGAGGAACCCATGGAACTACTCTCTAGGATTCCTTTGTCAGATCCACTGTCCTCTTTACCTCTGCCTCCAGAGGCACTGGCACCGGTTTTTGCAACGGACACATCCACTCAACCCCACTATTATTCTCAGCCAGACCAATATGGCTACCAGCCTCAACCGGCAGACCAATACAGTCAGCCACAGATCATCGGTTATGATGGGTATGGGAATCCAGTGTATGGGTACAATAACCAGGCTCCTGGGGGCGTGGGCGGGGCCCCTTACGGACAGGCTGGTCAGCCCACGTATTACATGCAGCCCGACGGTCAGGTTGTGATGATACCAGCCCCAGGTATGGAGGGTCAGCCTTACAACCAAGGTTTACAGATAACAGACATGGGGTCACCAGGAGCGCCTGGTTACGCATCAACTCCATCAAACCATGACCCAAACTCCCGTCATCGCAGTCCCCGACACGGACGAAAGTCCAAACCTATGGGCTTAATGGCAACAGTACCTGGGGGTCCAACAGGAACAGTTCTTGATGACCCCAACCTCCCTCCCCCAGGGACCACCATGATGAGGACAGGTATAGACCCTGTCAGTGGGGCTCAGGTCAACCAGGTCGTTTGGAGTGACCTCAATCGTGACCCCACCGACCCAGTTGGTGTGGACAATCCTCAAATCACTAGGAAAACCATGGTGAGGGTGACCACCAAGGCTAACGAGGGTGGAGGTGTACCAGATGCTCCTAGCCCAGGTATTTATAAATATTTATTGATGTCACAACACTTATTATATCGGAAATCTTAATATTCTTATTTGTGGGACATCTGATGGCGTTTTCTTTATAATAAAAAGTCAAAATTTTATATCAGTTGTTGATATGTAATTTATAAATTTTCATTACATTTAATAACTTGAGTTTATGTTTAGATGGACATTTTGATGTTGCCTGGTTCACTGTGACCACGAGATACTAACATTGTACTGTTTATGTTCAGCATTGCAGCAGATGTCGTTCAATGCGGCCCAGCAGCTCAAGACAGGTGCCGAGCCAGCCTTTATGTCCCCTTCTAAGGGCCGGGTCCAGGGAGGAGCCCTTCCCTACATGACCCCAGCCCCTATATACGCTGCGGAGACCCCTGAGCGAGACAACACTGGCTTTTACACTGGAGTAAATCCAACTGTTCGGGACACCCCCCACGTGCCCCCGTCAGGACCCGGGGGACCACGGGTACACAACGCTCCCCGGGCCAACAATGCGTTCAGGGACAAGATCACACTATCCATGGCAGACGAATCGGAGATCTGAGGATCAACAACCAGGGTTAAATGTTCATGTTGGTGACACTGTTCATCTGAGACCTGATATATACTGCAGTTTGTGCAGCACACAAAATAGAATTTAATTTAATTTAAATGTAAATTGTTCTGACAGAGGTAAGTAAGTATGAATAAAATAGTTTGATTTGTAATTTGTACATTACATGAAGTCAGGTACAATACAATGATAAGCCTACAAGATATAAGCACATCAAATATACCAGTCCTATGCATATTGCAATTTGCACATAGTTTTCTCATAAATCATTCTTTCATTCTCATGCCAGCCTGGAACTGAATTCCGACACAAAGATTGAACTTTTTCCTTAAACACCAGTGTTCCTTTTTGCTACATGTATTAATTTATTTTAATGTATCTTGTTCAATTTTTCTTCAAATTTGAAATAGAAGGGTTCCCGTAAAACATACGTCAGTTTTAGTTTTGAGTACAAGCTCATTAATGCTAACGAAAAAATAATTGCTAATATTCTTACTAAAATCTTCATGGACAAGAGTACAGTGGTGAAAACACTTTGGAGATACACAGGTCAGAGGCATTTTTAATCTCAAGAAATTGGGGTCAATTAACTTGTGTCCCATTGTAAACTTCAAGTACTGGAGTAACATTGTTTTATAGTACACACATGTTCTACCTGTAACCCATGCTCTTGCATAATTGATCAAAACAGCTGACGGTAGACAAGATGTACCTTGGGAATATCAATAATGTGTTTGATGTTGTACACAGCCCGGGGGGATATGTCATGTACATGCATGTGACTGATTGGTACAATACTGCACTATAGCCTTGAGGGGGTCATCAGTCCGACTACGACCAGCCATGCACAGCGGGATGGCTGTAAGTTATTAAACCTGCCTATACAGTCTCCCAAACTTTGGTTGAAATATTACTGATGTACATTTCAAAATTAAATCTGTTAAGTATGGAACCTGGGGGTTCATTGAAAGCAATTGTTTTCAAACCCAAATTTTATAGTAATTTGAAAACTGCTGTATTAAATTCCTTTTGTTCCAATAAAAGCACTTTTTTAATAATTTGGAAAATAAAAACAATTTTGATGAAAGATCAAGGATATACTCTGCATGCTGGAATATATATATACAACGGTTCATCACTTGGCGGGAGGCAGACTTCGTACGATATGCTTACGCGCATATAGTCCGTGGTTAATTTATATAAATTAATGCAATACTGCTACGCTCAATATATTTAAAGTCATTTATCTATTTTATTTTTTCACAAAGTTGTTGCCGAAACATAAATTTTGACAATAATTAAATTTGTCAAAAAAAAGTCATTTTTGAATAAATGAGTGACTTTTTTCCTTTGGGTCATATCACTACGCCAGCCTTGTCAACAAACACATGTGTGTATGTTCATGAGATTGTGGTAGAAACAGATCACACGACTCGTGGTTGTTGAGTATGGTATTTATTTCACTCTCGTTAAAGCTCTTGTCTTTTGTAACTTTTGAAAATTAACTAACTCGAGTGAAATAAATACCATATTCAACAACCACTCGTTGTGTAACCTCTATATATACTTGATTGTACAAGTGCTCTTTGTTTGAATTATAGATTTCTGTTTAAATCTTTTTTTATACTGATGAGTATCTCCATGGTTACACATAATTGGGAGTAGGAAAATGGGCACTAGCTGCAAGAAAAAATGACCGAACAATTTTATTACGTTCTTACCTGTGAAATATAAGGTTTAACTTATTCACCCCTACATTTATGAACTAGACTTGTCCAATCTTTGTTTTGGTAAGGTTCCAATGTGACTTTAGGGGTGAATGGGTTAACAAAGGAATTACAATTGATAATTTTCTTCTGTAACAAATAAGGTAAATAGGACTTTTTGACATTTAATTGTGATGGCATTGTTGCTGTGACGTTGTTATACAGCACGACCTTCTCTCACTATTTTTTTTGCCAGAAATGGAATTTCTGTTCACGGAATTCAATGTAAATACTAAGAAAAATGCAATAAATAAAACATTCTTAGTTTCTTGATGATTTTTTTTTATAAATTCACTCTAAGGTTGAATATTTTTCATATTTTGTCTCTCTCTTCAAAGTAATCCCTTTTGAAATTTAATTTATTCAACAAGAAACCAAGAGCATTCTCTATTTGTAGTTTGTCGTCATAATGAGTATACTGTAATGTTGTCACATACATTTATAGTTTATATTTTTACATTTCAGTAACCTAGTCAGGCTTTTTAAAGTTTGTGTTTGATTTAGGGTTAAATTCAATTTGGGAAAAATTAAAAACAAAAGCTGGATAACATTTTTATCTAACATTTCAATTTTAATACACTATCGTCACTTGCCCTGTTTTAGAAGTAACCTAGTGTTTTTACTATTTATATAATTTTAGTAATCTCGATGAATATTTTAGGTATTAACAATTTTTTAGATTTCTGCAATGCTGTGATGTGACATACAGATGATATTTAAAAATGTCTTTGTCTTAATCTAAAATCAGAACACATATCCGATAAAAACAAGAAAATATGTTTTATTGTTGGTTTAAGTTCTAACAATCTGAATGAGATTCAGTGCTAAACCGTCACAGCTTGTTAAATCTATCAAACTTTTTGCTTCAAATTTCAACACATTCCTAAGCAACATTAGTCATTTACTAGTAATGCCTTCCCATATAAAGTAGAAAGTATTTGACCTGAGTTTCTGGTAACAATAGTCCATGTGTTTTATTGCACGAAGCGGCAGGGCATTATACGTTATAAATGTAAATGTACATTACCAGGTAGACTATTAATATATTTCGAATGTTTTCTTATTTTTATGTTTATGCTTGGCTCATCATATAAAAAATCACTTCAGAATAAACATACAATTGTTAATGTTTCCATTTTATGAGTAAAACTCAATGATTATAAATACATAATGTATATTAATTTCGAGTGCATTAAGTAAATTAAGTCTAAATACAGTACAATGTATGTCAATTTGATCACATATTACTGCAAAAAACCTTGTCATAATTGGATGCATAAATGATTTTCTGTGATTTTTTTTTATAATTTACAAGTCACAATTTAAAAACAAACTCTGCTTCCATGTTGCTTTTTCATAAAAGATCATCAAATTTATAGTCATACACATCTTAAGTTTGGAGAGAGGGAGTTAAGTGTAAGTGAGAGAAACATATCACCTTTATATTGTAGCAACTTTTTTACCAATAGAATCAAAATAAAAATTCTACATGAAATTGTTTTGTTTTTATTGTAGAAAAATAGAAAAATGAACGTGCACTGTACCAGATATGTATACTGCATATATGCAATGTGCATTTGGTAATAAATTGGATTGAAATACTGAACGGCAAAATAAAGTACTGTATACACTTATTAAAAGAAAATATTGTTGCCAAACATCACGTTTATTGCAAAACAAATGTGATATTGATGTGATCGCATCAATGCTAAACAAACAAGAGGCCCAGATGGCCTGTATCGCTCACATGGATGTCTAATTAATCAAGGCAAAATATTCTTCAAATAAGATCCCAGGGATATGGCCAGACCCCAAGGCCAGTCCTTGTAGCATATCTGTATTAGATTTTCCATGCCCAGCAATTGTATGTATGGTTATGGGGTGGGGATCTCAACTGTTTCAAAGGTGTGACTCGGAAACTAGGTCCCTAAGGTTGCAGCCAGACCCCAAGGCCAATCCTTTGTAGCATATCTGTATAAGATTTTCCAAAACAAAATATAGTTGATATCCATCGCTTAGTTCAAGAGAAAAAGTCGCTTAAAGCAAAATAGCCAAATTAACATCAGTTGTTTAATTTAAGCAAATTTGACCCCTTTAAGCCCCGCCCCTCAGTCCTTGGGGGCGGGCCAGGGCCCAAACTGTCAAAGTATCAAACTGTCCTTTCATGGTTATAATGTCTGTCAAGTTTGAATAATTTCCAATTGAAAATGAACCAAACATACCCAAAAGTACCATTTTCCTATATAAACTATAGTAAACTTCGACCCCTTCCCAGGGGCAAACATGGAGTCGGGGGTCATGAAATTCACAATTTTGATAGAGCACCTCAAGACCCTTTCATCTATTACGAGTATTTGTTTCCAGCCTATCTCAGTCTGGAGAAGATGACTGTTGAAATTTCTGGCTAAATGACCCCATTTGGGCTCCGCCCCTCAGCCTCTCGGGATCAGAAAGGGTTAAAAATGTCAAAGTATCAAACTGTCATCTCATGGTTATAATGTTCATCAAGTTTGCATGATTGCCAGTAGAAAATGAACAAAAGATACCCATTTTCCTATATAAACTATTGTAAATTTCACCCCCTCCCCAGGGGCAAACGTGAAGCTTGAGTCATGAAATTCACAATTTTGATAAAGTACCTCAAGACCCTTCCACCTTTTAAGAGTATTGGTTTCCAGCATATCTGGGTCTGGAGAAGAAGATTTTAAAAATTGAAGCCAATTTGACCACTTTTAGCCCCTGGGGGCGAGAACCATATAATTCACAATTTTGGTGCATATTTGACCAAGGAAGGTTCCTGCAAAATTTTATTGAAACCTGATCGCGGTTTTTGAGAAGAAGTCGAAAATGTTAATTGCTTATGGACGGACGCATGACGGACAAAAGGCGATTAGAATATTCTACTCGAGACTTCGTCTCAGGTGACCTAAAAAGTCCTTGCATTAACAACACAATGCCCTTATTTGGCAATAAAAGGAGCATGACTCCACTAAAAATGCATATAAACTTCTGAAATGCAAACTCGTCTGGGCAGTATTGGTATGCAATAAGTGTACCAAGTTCGAGTTCAATCAACCCAAGGGAACTCAAGTTATCGCACGGAAACCTTGTTTCAGACGACGCAACCAACAAAGAAATACCTATATGTCGCCTCGCATTGCAGGCGACACAAAAATGACAACACAACATGTGGGATGAATACAGTTTGTCTCTTTTCTCACAAAGTATAAGGTCATAGCGATACTTAAGCAAAAATACCAAGAAACAGTTTCAAGACGATGTAAAGCGTTTTATTCACATATCACACGTAAAAGAGGAATTGAAGTTGGTAACAAAATTACATTGGTTCATATATAACAAGAGGTACATCGAATCGATTTTTTTCCAAACAAATTACAATAAAAGTTTCTTCAAAGTCTGTGGACCAATTGTAACGGTGAAAGAATCTATTATCTTTCAGACAAAAATCTAGAAATAAAGCAGGGGAGACAACTGGCATGTCATCCCCAACAAATCTGTCTGAATGTTTTAAGATTTTATCAAACTCATCATCTTTAAACGTTATTTCATTATTTAATTTGAATGGAGAGGTCTACATTCTTACACATGTTATATATAATGAACTGCTGTCTTCACTTCAAATGTAAGCCAAGAGTGAGCAGCTTAATACCATTGTTAGGCTTAGAACTATTTAAGAAAAGGCATCCATTTACCTGGTAATTTAATATTCAAGTAAAAGTTTGACAGAAAAATTGTAACTTTTTAGATAGATCTATTCAGATTTAGTTAAAGTGACTTTTCAATACTTTCCTAAATTTAGTATGTGAAGCCTAGACAAGAGGGCCTGTATCACTCACCTGGATATCTAAGCTATCATGGAAAAATATTCTCCGAATAAGATTCCAGGGATAGGGCCAGACCTCAAGGCCAATCCTTGTAGCATATTATGACTGCATTCGTCTCTTCATGCCCAGCATTTGTATATATAGTTTTGGGGTGGGGATCTCAACCATTTCCAAGTAATAAACTAGTTTTGGCCCCATCCCCTTAGCCCGGGGAGTCAGCCCCACCATTTGTACAATAGTTAATCCCCACCATGAAGGAATGCTTACAACAAAATATAGTTGATATCCATTGCTGAGGTCCAGAGAAGGTCGCTAAAAGCCAAATAGCCAAATTACCCTTTTTGGCCCCGCCCCTCAGCCCCCTGGGGTGTCAACCCCACCATTTGTACAATTTTTGTCTCTAGTTTTCCTTTTTTTAATTTGCTAAAATGTTCTACATTGCTATATCTATTTATCAAGGATTTCAGGAAAATTAGGAAAATTGGGAGGCCATGAAAAAACCTCGGCCTTTTAACTCATGAACTCCAAATCTAATGTTAACTTTGTTGGGACTATAAATTTACATAATGTACAGTCGCTTGTTATTACATCATAGCATTACATACATGTTTTCCGCTCTATGCGATGGGGAATAGAACAGTGTAAGTATGTCATGTCCTCTCAAAATATCACATCATATAAATAAGAACATCTCGTGAAAAAATAGTATAACAGTAGAGGTATTGAGATCACAGTATATACTACAAACAAAACAAATCTCACAACCGTTTCTACTATCTAGTTGTAAGTGGTACATTTTTGTCTTACATTCAAATTTTATTATATTTCCTCTTTTTCAAAATCATCAGTTTCCATATCTCAACATTAATCTAAATGTTTCTGTTCCTCGTTAAAGACAGCATGCTCTGTAGTAGGGAGTTGTATCCTTATCCCATCACAATCTCCATGACATATTCCAGGGGTGCAGAGAGCGTAAGTGAGCGTAACCACTGGAGTATAAAGGAAGATTTGAACCCTATTTAAGAGACTTTGGGTAATAAGACAGTGGAGTCATACGACCTGCTAGTGCATGTTTAGGTGAATTCGTTATTTCAATACGACTGAGAACATTTCTCATCAAAGTACTGTAGATTTACTATGAGACAAGTCAGCGTACCGACTGTAGACAGCCTTTTTGATGCTCCCATGTTGTTTATATGTAGTGTTACTTTACTAGTGATGTTAGCTTTTGTGTTGAATTCATGGAATCTTTCTTCGGCAAAAACTGTCAAAGTAACACTCTTGTGATAGTTTCACTGTGCACAGTATTGTAATGTTTTCTTTCGGTTTCACAATCCATAGTACATGTTTTGTTGTGTGATGTCCTGCGTTACTTTCCCCGTATGTTTTCTTACCTTGGACGATTTTCCTGTACAAAGCATTGTTTTGTTATTTTTCCCCCGTGACAGTTTCGAAGTATTAAGTATTGGTATGCTTTAATTCTTTTGACAGCACTGTCATGTCATCTGCGACAGTTTTTCAGTGCAAGGTATCTTTCAGTTTTCTGCGACAGTTTCACTGTACACAATATTGTTATATTTCATATCCTGCCATAGGTTCCATGTAAAATATGTGCTAGGTTTTGTTCCCAGTATCACAATAATGCACCAACTATTATTGAGGGTATTACACCTTGTACGGTTCATAGGAGAACTGGTATTTTCCCACAGATTTTGTAAATCTGAGCAAACTTTGAAAATTGAAATAAATATCACATAAATCACAAGGGTTCTCTACCAAGACTAGGAGAGTAAAAAGGATGTAAATATTGATAAATATTTTTTCCAGCTGAAATTTTATTAATTTGATCTATATTAGCATTAATACAAAAGACAATCTTTAAAGTAATAAACTTGACGACTTTAAGGAATAGGTATCACAATAAAACAAGACTCCTTTCCAAGATTAAAACAACATCCACCTAATGCATCATTATCACACTTTTGTTCTAACCATGGTGTCGCGCAAGAACATGCTTAAAGATATACAACATTATATCAAACAACTATCTGTTTAGTCGAAATATATCAAAACTAAATAACTCAAACATACACATACAACTTGTACGCCACTTCTCAATCTTATAATACTCTACAGATAACTTAGTCTTAACTTAGAAACACACCACATTCAAATGCCCCTCACATATAACCAAGGCAACATCTATACGACATCACAGCTAGTCGACAGCCTCCATGTCCATGTAGCCCAGATCTACAGGGGGCCGGTAGGTATTTTCCTGTACGCCAGTTTGTTCCCCGTCACAGTCTACGTTCTCCTTATCACTGTCCTCTGGGTAAGTGTCACCATTCTTGGGATCGGAGTATCGGTTGTCCAGGAGGGGCGTGGCCTCTGTGACATTACCACTGGCTGCGGTGTTCCCTGAATCTGTTGAGTCTATTCCTATAGTATTGTCTACAGTGTTTGTCTCCCCTGAGAAGGAGGGGTCTGTTTGTGGAGTTTCTTCCTCTGCTTTGTTTTCTGTGTCCTGTCCGGAGGACATTTCCTTGGGGATTGAGAATGTGTCCCGTCTCCTGTAGAACAGGAGGTAGGCTCCCCTGGTCACTACCTGGTTTTTCTCATTGCTTACTGAAGACACTCTGCTGTCGTCACACAATCGCCAATCTGTCAAACAGAAAAAAAAACAATCAGTAAATAATCAAACTTGGAATTTTACAAATTAACATGATCAACACTGATTTCCTTGGTGTGGTGTGGTTATTAATTAAATCTGCAAGTAGTAATACAGGTACTTTTCTACTCCATCAATCTTACTGATGTCTGTAAATTTTCCATATTTTATTACTCCTTCCAGTCCTTTCTACCGCTGTCTGAGGTCTGTATACTACACGTAATAATAGACTTACCAACATCATTCTTACTAGAGTCTGTGAGGTCTGCACACCTCACGAATGCCGTGTAGTGACCACCCAGAATGCCTCCATAATGGTTTACTACAGCATACAGGTCATACACAGGCGGAGGCTCGTTCTTCGGCTGGGCACCGATGTAGAACTGAGACAGGTCAAATCCTCTGTGGTAAGTAAAAATGCAAATGCTTATTTTCCTGTTATGAAACTCTGCTGCACATCTTGAAAGTTCTTGATGATAAAATTAAAGATAATCTTAATATTCAAATATCCACTGAATTAGATTTTTTTTATATCACTCTTGAAATCTTTAGGGGTAATAATACAAATCTGTGCTATTAATTAATTGAATGCCACAAGACATACCTAACAGGAAATTCCACCATTTTGTATTAATTGAATTCCACAGGACATACCTAACAGGAAATTCCATCATTTTGTATTAATTGAATGCCACCAGACATACCTAACAGGAAATTCCACCATTTTGTAATAATTGAATGCCACAGGACATACCTAACAGGAAATTCCACCATTTTGTATTAATTGAATGCCACCAGACATACCTAACAGGAAATTCCACCATTTTGTATTAATTGAATTCCACAGGTCATACCTAACAGGAAATTCCATCATTTTGTATTAATTGAATGCCACCAGACATACCTAACAGGAAAGTCCACCATTTTGTATTAATTGAATGCCACCAGACTTAATACCTAACAGGAAAGTCCACCATTTTGTATTAATTGAATGCCACCAGACATACCTAACAGGAAAGTCCACCATTTTGTATTAATTGAATGCCACCAGACATACCTAACAGGAAAGTCCACCATTTTGTATTAATTGAATGCCACCAGACATACCTAACAGGAAAGTCCACCATTTTGTATTAATTGAATGCCACAAGACATACCTAACAGGAAATTCCACCATTTTGTATTAATTGAATGCCACCAGACATACCTAACAGGAAATTCCACCATTTTGTATTAATTGAGTGCCACCAGACATACCTAACAGGAAATTCCACCATTTTGTATTAATTGAATGCCACAAGACATACCTAACAGGAAAGTCCACCATTTTGTCAATTTTGTCCCGCCAGATGAAGTTTCTGAAGGAGAAGCGTTTGAGTTGTATGATGAGTGTATGGGGCAGTCTCCAGATGGACATTTGTTTAGTGGCCTCCCGATGCTCCTTACACCGCGGACAGTACCTGTTTACACAAAAGTTATAAGACTCTACAGATAAATTCAGACATCGAGCTTACAGCAGGCAAATTGGTACGGTTGCAGAATGGTTTTGGCTTTAATATTGAGATTCAAATTACAGAGACTGTCATAGAGGGGCATTTGGTTCCTGAAACATTTGGGACAACAATGATGTTTAGGTATCTGGAAGTATTTGAGATTTCAAAATTTATCATATGGATATTAAATGAAGCTAAAATACCATTATCCAAAGTAAATTACAAACTGACAAGTATTACCAATTGATTTAAATAGACAGCAATGAGTCACACAGTACTGATCTTAACTTTGACAAATTGACCAACATCAAAGTCATCAGACATTTTTCTCCTGTAACAGGAGACATAATTTCATATAGTGTGTCAAATGCATATATGTATGCTTATGTTGGTAATTATATGTGTAAGTTTATCTTCGTAAGCTGTATATATATATATGCATACTAATGTTGGATATCGTATGTGTAAGCTTTTCTTACCAGGCTTCCTCTGGACTGAGGACCTCGGGCTCCGTGAACAAATCCAGACATTGTGTAATGGTGATGTTGCTGTTTTCTGTAAATATAGTCCACTATTATAAACTATACACACAAATCAAAGTACCCAGACTAACAAGGTTCCAACAAAATAAGGGCTCACTGAGGCAATAACCCAAAGTGTCTGAACTAACAAGATTCTATTGTAAAAAGACTCCCATTGCTTTAGATATAATGTACAGGGTGTACACTCTATCCGATGTAACCACAATAACTTAAACAAGAGGCCCAGAGAGCCTGTATCTTTAAGTAGTCATAGCAAAATATTCTCATTAAACATCATACTGTACTACAAATATTTCACTGGCAAACATTGTCAGCTCCATCTGTTGAAACTACCAGCAAAATATTATTGTATGATTCTATGCTTTTTGGTTCTTCTTCAGAATTTGTTTGAAGTGTTTGACATATTTGTCTCTGTGACCTTGTAAGAAGGTCAAGGTCATTTTCACCTTTGGGCAGGTGAGCTAAAGAAATGTAAGACTTCACATTTAAGGATCAGAGACCTTACAATAGTCTAGAATTTTTTTACATGGATATGTTGGTAATATGCATGAGGACCAATATATATATACCGGGTATATCTCTTCGAGTCATAACGAATAACTCACCCATCAATGTTTACGATGGTCAGGTAAAATTAGTATACTTTTGTAAAAGTAAATGGCCTGGACCAGAAAAACAGGCTGGGCTGAATTTTATGCATTAAGGTTTCACTGTACAGGACAGAGAGAGAATCTTCAGTAACCGTATTATAATATTACGTTCCACTCACCATCCACTGAAGCCTGCATGCTGGGGTCCTCCTCACAGTCCTACATTAGGGAGAAAACAAAATAGTATATCACAACAATACTCACAGCTTTATATACATACAATTTATAAACAAGATCCTAATACAATGTACTGAAACTTACATCTTCTCATTACTATTTTGAAGTTTTAATGCTAGTGCTTTTTAGTGGGTACATATAATAATAGAAAACATTTCTGTTACACCTGATTTACAGTGAGTAGAAATAAGATTCTTTTTTAAGACATTTCCTCTGCATTGGTAAGTGGTCTAACAAAAGAAAAAAAGAGAGAGATAGTTGGAGTGAGAAAGCAGGAAACAGTATATTTCTCGTAATATTGTCTCGGGAAGGTATTATTTACAAAATACTGTCGAACCTAGTTATCTCAAAGTAGACGGGGTGGTGGGAAAACTTCGAGATATCCGAGTATTCAAGTTATGCAGGTTTATTAATTTAGTATGAAATGCTGTTGGACATAGCACTAACAGTTGTTATTTTATTAATAACCTATACTTATAATCAATCGGTGAATAATACACGTATTAATCAATATAACAAATACAGGTATGTAATTTTACAATAAACACACTTATAAAATTACTGTAGAGTAAGTTATTTCCGAAAAACATACTTTCATTTAACGCGATCAAAACGGTTGGACCATATTGTGAATCCTTATAAATATTGACGGGCTTAGTGATTAAATGCTGTCTTCGTCCTCGTACTATACAATGAGGAAATGAAAGTGTGCAAGTCTAAAACAAATCACTGTAATGGAGCGTACACATAGTTGATTCTGTAAATAAAAACACATCCAAACATATTATATCGTACATGTAACACATTATTCATTAAAGCTAAATGTGACACCTGACACCTCCTCAACTCGATGTAATCAACAGCAATTATCGTATTGTTCTTAAATTTCTCGATCGACGTTCAAAACCATACTGGCTCCTGTGAAAACATGAACCCATAAAGCTGTCCTAGGTTGTGATTTTAACTGTGGAACTCTTTTATGCATGACCAAGCTTTTTTTCCAATTTTCTGGTTTGCACAGTCGTCTGTTTGGGTGTACAAATCATTTAACGGACTCGCAGTAAGTACAGAATACGGTTGATCAACATTAATGAATTTTGTTTTTATTATAAACATCATGGTTTTGGCAGTCCGCACACTTTACAGTCTGAAGCTTTATCGTAAATTCTTTTTACCGATTTAGTCTACACGCGAAAGATGTTCATAAACATGGAATGGCGAGATGTCGTACTGTTGCTTTTTATTTGTATCAAAGAATTAATAAGTGACAAAATGAAATTCGAACAATTTGAAGTAGACGATGTTTTGATGTTGGATTTAAGCTATTGAAACCAATTTCTTACTTCGAGGTATCAGAGTTTTTCGACTTTTCAGGGTTTGAATTATCAGAGTCTTATTTACTAAGATAAAGAAGAGACTTGGCCGGGACCGGAGAAATACTTCGAGATAAACGGGGTCTTTGAGTTAAAAGAGTTCGAGATAACAAGGTTCAACTGTACTACTATTCAGACATACCAGTTCTTTGGTTTGCACTAGTGCATATGGACTGAACTTGTCATTGTTTTTCCAGTCAATAGACAGAAACTGTCTGTAGGACAAATCCAGTGGTACATCTCCTGCCAAGTAAAACAAAACCTCTTGAAAGTATGCAATCTTTACAGGTGTTTTAAACAAGCATACGAAATACTGATAAGTAATACATGCTCATGTCCCCTACCATGACCCACTTCACAAACATCCATCTCCAAATCTATGTTGGTCTGGAGTATAAAACATAACTTTTTTTCCTACATGCTATTTTGATTGTAGAAATTTGAAAAACATGTATAGATCTGGGTCAAAGTTATATTATTAAATTGAGGGATTACATTTATTAGAACACAATATTAATATTCAAAATGTTTATAAAAGCCAGCGTAATTATTCTGCCATCCACCCTCTCAATTTAGAAGAGTGCCACACGTACCTTTGTCTTCAAGCCTTTCCCCGTCGGGTCCTTTTATGCCAAGGCCTTCTTGGTTGACAGGTTTGATGAAGAAGAGAGGTGATACTCTATCCATATCATCTGATTTTATACCGAGTACGGAATTAGTGGGCGTCGGTCGGGAGCCACGCCCATCCTCCATGTCCTCCTCCTCCCCTCCTATCTCTGCCTCTCGAGTCATGTCAGCGTAATCTGATTGAGGCAACTTAAAGGAAGGATACTCCGGTAGATTCCTCTCATTGACACTCTCGTCCGATTGTCCTGGATTGAGTGGAATATCTGTGTCGGTGGGGTTGATGTTCATATGATCCCCTTCCACATTTGCTTGGAGATATTGGGAGATGTCGGCCATCTCCTCACCACTTTCAACGCCTGTCGTCACACTAGATGATGAGGCAGTCAAGTCCGTGTCCCCACAGTCAGTCTGATCCTGACCGGCTGTGATTGTACATGTACTACTGATAGATGATTGGCTATCTAAACTGTTCATACTGCCACTTGATTGGCTGCTGCTGCTACTGAGACTTGAGGAGGTGGAGGATTGGCTGCTGAGTTTACCGGACGCATCAGGTTTGACAGGGGGTTGGAATACATCCACAGAATATCTTAAGAAACATGAGAAAAATGAAACATTCTTTGAAGTTTATCTTTACTTTATACAACACACATACTGGGTTGCTTATTACCATGTACCTGGGTATTTGGAAACCTGTATAAACAAAACCTTCAGCAGACTTTTATTTCTAATATATTTATACTGCATACTCCAAAAGTCTTAATCAAAATACTGATTTAGTTGTGTGTTTGGTTCAAAAAGGTTTCACTTAATCATGGTTTAAACAAATTAAAACAAGAGGCCCAAAGGGCCTCCATCGCTTATCTAGTAAAAATCTCTCATTTGTAATCTTAAAATATAGCTACAGGCAATATAACAGTATCTTTGACCCTTCCAGCCAGGTGACCTACAAAAATATTGTACATTGTATTCTTGTTGTCATTAAAAATAAAACCAGAATTTAAATTTCTTCAGGTTTTTCTTCTTGTCAAGTATACATTTAGTATAAAATATTGTATAGAGGAGGTCTTTCTAAATAACAACGGAGATTAACAACCAACCTGGCGGAAGCTTCCATGAGCGTACAAAGCCTGGAGAAGGTTGTGCGTGACTCGGGTATACTGAGGATGTATGGACAGCCGACGGGTTCTGGGGTTGGTTTACAGTTAGTCCGGTGAAGGTTCCAGTGGTCCCTCTGACACTTCCTGTTAACAGATAATTTAATGGATACAACTAGACAGTCAAATCTCATTAATCCAATCACTGTGCTTCTCATCTTATGTGAGGGTCAGACTCAGGTAATGAAAAAGTTTAAATAGAAAAAGAAATAGTTTCTCTGAAACAAAGATGCAGAACATTATGTCCATTATTTCTTTTGGTGATTTGTGTAAATTCTGAGATAGAATTGAATACTGATTTCTGTGATGTCATTTACAAAGTTAACATTGATATTTAAAGCTGTAAAGAGATATTTTGTCTATTCATATATTGAGGTGGGGGTGTTCGTTGGTTCGTTGTTTTCCTATACTTTCTTTTGTAGTTTTATGAGAATAGGACATTGTAGTATTTACACACATGCAGGGTTATATGACAACAGACAAAAGAACAGTCTTTCATAGATATATTACTTTTTTTCTGAATCCAGAATGACTTAATTGTCAAGAAAGAAATGCTCACACATATAACAACATACTGCAGTTGGTGTCACCCTATGGACTGGACAAATCTCAATGCAAAAGCTAAGGGGAATTATAAGATTTGAGGAACTCAAAATTTTATAACAGCTTGAATTTTTTTTGATGAAAATTGAAGGAATGCCTACCTATCACAGTATCCGACTTTGTAACACTTTGTACATCTCTTCAGCTTGCTTCCATCAGGACACAGTCGTTTACAGGATGCACAGTGTGTAGGAGCTGTGTTAGGGAGGATGGTCCTCTGTAGAGGAAAGGAGAGTATACAGGCTCACTTCTTATAGTTTGTATTTATTTAGTCATTTTATGTTTTGTCCTTTTCAATTGCAAGGTGCTGCACCAATTGCACAATCATCGAAATCATGATAACATTTGTTTTCTCCACAGGACAAGTTCAAGCCTTTTCAGTTTTACTCGGAAAATAACTAACCAAATCAACTGACTGTGTTAAATACAGAAACTGTAAATAAGTAGGTGAGGAGTACGTACTTGGACTAAATCTACTCACCTGGACAACATAAACTTCATACACCGGTTCCCCAGCCACTTCCTCTGACAATACCTCACCTCTGAAATAGGTCAAGTATGCACATTTTGAAAGTTTTATAATATTATTATTGTGATTCAAAGGCATAATAAGTCCCCACAAACCCCTGACCTGTGCATGGAAAGTTCTGTCCCCCTCCCCATCCTTCTCCACACATGGAGAAGTAATGTACCAACACTTATGATGTTATGACATGTCCCCCAGACTTACATTATGATGTTATGGCATGTCCCCCAGACTTACATTATTATGTTATGACATGTCCCGCAGACTTACATTATGATGCTGTGACATGTCCTCCAGACTTACATTATGATGCGATGACATGTCCCCCAGACTTATATTATGATGTTAGTACATGTCCCCCAGACTTACATTATGTTGTTATGACATGTCCTCCAGACTTACATTATGACGCTATGACATGTCCTCCAGACTTACATTATGATTTTGTGAAATGTCCCCCAGACTTACATATGATGTTATGACATGCCCCCCCGGCTTCCATTACGATGTTACGACATGTCCCCCAGACTTACATTATGTTGTTATGACATGTCCTCCAGACTTACATTATGACGCTATGACATGTCCTCCAGACTTACATTATGTTGTTATGACATGTCCTCCAGACTTACATTATGATTTTGTGAAATGTCCCCCAGACTTACATTATTATGTTATGACATGTCCCCGAGACTTACATTATGATGCGATGACATGTCCCCCAGACTTATATTATGATGTTAGTACATGTCCCCCAGACTTATATTATGATGTTAGTACATGTCCCCCAGACTTACATTATTATGTTATGACATGTCCCCCAGACTTACATATGATGTTATGACATGCCCCCCCGGCTTCCATTACGATGTTACGACATGTCCCCCAGACTTACATATGATGTTATGACATGTCGCCCAGACTTACATTATGATTTTGTGAAATGTCCCCCAGACTTACATTACGATGTTATGACATGTCCCGCAGACTTACATTATGATGTTATGCCATGTCCTCCAGACTTACATTATGATGTTATGACATGTCCCCCAGACTTACATTATGATGCTATCACTGGCTTGGACATTGGACCAGTCAGACTCACTGCTGTAATACTTGTATATTTTACTCTTGTATGCCTCTATAATTCTCATCTGAAAATGAAAAGAAGGAAAACAGATGATTTTTTTTTTTAAAACTGATAGCTGCATACATGAACGGTAAGCTACACTGTACAGTTGCATGGTATGTCAATTATGTAGCTTAGTCAACTCTAACACGTGCCAATCAACAGACATGATAATGACACCTTAAATAACATTTACAAGTTCACTGGATGATTTATATGAAATCTAATATTTGTGAAAAAAAATGTACCTTCAAAATGTGAAATTTAAACCCCTAAACAACTAACGAGCCAGGTAGCAGAAAAGGGTTGCATAACTGGGGTTGAAGAATCGTCTTCAATGAGTAGTCAGACGGTTAACTCTTTCACCCCTAGGTAACTTGAGAAGACTCTACCATACATTCATCTGGATGAGGAGGAGTCCACTATGGTCTACAGTGGTGAAAGGGTTAACTATGGATATTTGGAGTAATATTACAACATTGCTGATCCTGTGACAGTTGACTTGACACTCACATCTCTTGGTTTAACTCCCGTTTTCTTTGAGGCCGCTTCTTTGACCATGTCTGTTGTACACTCCTTTGCCAACCAAAGCAATAACTGTGGAACAAAACAGGTCAGCTGAGAAAAGTCTCAATAATTCTCAATACAATGTCCAACAAGCAGCCACAGTTATCAACATCCTCATTACCATTTTATCCTAAATATGTCTTTTCCAATTACCTCTACACAGCTAAATGGAGACCACCTGTTAATAGTTACCTATTCCACATACTTTATAACAGGAAATTTTCACAATTGAACTTTTGCTTTTTTGACAGCAAATATTAATACAGTGAAACCTTGAAATAATGCATGCCCCTTGTGTCAATTGCCACCTCATTTACCACCAGCATATTTCAACGTCCCTTTTTCTTGTTTAAAAAAAATAAAAATAAATCCTTAATATATTTCCCTCAATATATTGCCAACCCCCTTTATAACGACAATTTTTCTGGACAAATGGTGGCATTATAGGGAGGTTTTACTATACCCAACTTACTATATATACTCACTACAATTGAATGGCAAATTAACGCTGGGCGAATACAGATTTTACCAGTGAAGGGTGAAAGTTTCTCGATATACAGTATACTAAACGCCCCAAATCAATATATCAACAGTATTACAAACAGTTAATGATTCCCTGTTTGAAATGTTTTATTGTTTTACTTCCATCAGCTGTAGTGGCAATAAAGAACTTTCTGTTAATCCAACATACCTGCACAGGTTTTTTGTATGGGTCCCTCCACATAAATATCACAGGTAGTTGTCGCTTCTTCTTCGGTAATGGCACAGATAGGTACAGGAAAGGGTCGAAGGTTATCGATACCTATATTGAAGTTAAAAAAAGTAATCAAGAATTATGAAATTATTGAAATTGTATATATAAATGATCACAATGTAAAAAAAAAAAAAAAATCCTACACCTACATTGATCACGCATTAGTAATATAGAAATACAATATAATATGGAAAATAACACATAATTATTTTCGTATGTTGATTTTGTTTTGTTGTTCATATTTGTAAATCCATAATTTACCACATTTATTGTAGGATATTATGAGTGGGTATTATCAATCTAATTATTATTGATCTCTTTAAAATTGTCATAACTAGCTATAGTCTTTACAACATTTATAATGTACGTACCTTACCACAGACAGGGCACACTAACTTTGACTTGTACTGGCCTTGGAACAGGTCGACAATGAACGAGTCATTTCTCTTCTTATACACATCCCACGCCTCTCTGGCTACAGTCTGCCACAGAAAATATGCACAGGTCAACACACACATACTACATATACAAGTTCATCTGTAGGGTAGGCAACAAGGCATTTCTCATTCACAATAAATTGGTTTTTCCCTTCTTTGCTTCTCATTCCATCCCTGGGCTTGTACAGGAATTTTCTTGGAAATTCAGGGCTTTTTAGAGCCATTAAAATGAAACTTAGGACATAACTCCTGCCAATTACAAATTAATTCTCAAATACAGATCTGGGTGTTTAACCTGGTTGTCTCTTCCATTCACAATATAAACAGCAAGCAAGCCTAAAATCTTAAACTGGTCAGCAGCCCGACAATCAAGAAAATAACTCCTAACAAATATTTAATTTTCTTGTATTTCTAAATTAAATTGTAGGAGATTGACAGAAAAAAACACCTAACTGATTATAATATCATAGCTCAACAATCATTTAGTTAAACTTGAGGCTCATCTTTACCCTTTCAAGACTTTTTTTTCTTAAATTTAGGGGCTTTTCAAGCCCAACCCTTTCTTTTAGGGCCTTTTCAACACCTGTATGAACCATGCATCCATAATTTTATCCTGTACACAACCTTATCATTGAAAGTGCATTCCTAAGCCATCACTCCTTCATATCAGCTTAAATTTTGATTTTTGTATTATTTCAGTTTTGTAATTTTTCTGGTAGATGTGATGATACCAACCTCATCTGATTTGCCGTCGGAGTCTACAGTCTCTGTGTAGGGCTTCTCCTTCACACGATTCAGGTCCTGGACGATAAAATACACAGAGTAGAGTTTAATGTTTAATACCAAAGTAATAAATTAACTAAAGTGTTGAAAAGAATTCAAAATAAGGAATGATACCTCCGATTTATTCTTAATCAACTAAGGTATGAGGTGATTTTTTTATTGCTTTGACTTTCATTTCCTCTATTTTACCAAACAAAAACTTTGTTTGGGAACTAAATCTTATAGATAGCTCTTGGAAAGACGAAGAAGTTGAAGTTTTTATGAAAAAATTATTGAAGAAATATCAAACATCCTTTTACCTCGTGAAGACCATCCAAGAGAAAAGCCATGAATTCCTGAGCATCATGTTGTGCAAATCCTGTAAACTGACTGGCCTTCATCGCAACAAGATTCTGTAAAATGTCAAGATGTTAGATGCCATGCATAATTCAGATACTTACTTTTATAAAGTCAGTCAACATCAAAGTGTTCAACATATTCAAATGACATCCGAATCCCAACAAGAAATGGGTTATATTTTCCACATTTTTTGCTGAAGAAACTCTCCAACTTAACTTAGAATTATTTATTTTATTTCAATTCTACTTACGACCCATATTTGAATGTTAAACTTTTGTTAAATAAAGTACCTTTAGTTTTTCAAAATGTACATCAGTATAAAATTTATAATACACTTTTTATAGGATGGAAAAAAAATCCTAATCTGAATTAAACCTTTTTCCAATTCTAAAACCCAAGGCCCAATCCTTAAAAGCCAAAAATCAAACGATGCTTAGAAATTCTAATACAAGATTGTTAAGTCATTTATCAGCATGTAAGACTGCCACTGCCATACAATGTGTGAGCTGAAGAGCATTGCAGACCTACCTTGAGTTTTGACGGAGCATAGGAGTAGTGTTTTCCTGACCATAGCACTTTGAGTAGATGTGCAAATTGTACTGCCAATTTCCCTCCACTGCCCAAAGGGTTATCTGTGTTTATGTCTTTCTGGTAGGCACCACCTAAAAACACAACATAGGTTGCAAAAATTAACATCTTCTGCTAGTTAAAATTCACAAATCCATTCCAATCCACAAAGTTCTAAAAATTTATTAATAAAATAATTAACTAATTATTATGTTTACCTCAGCAATAAGAAAAGTGGCAATCTTTTAGAAAGCTTTTTAATATCATTACAATGTAGCAATACTACATCTGCTTCCTTATTTTCATTATTTTTTTATTTATCAATAATGCAGTTTTTAAAATAACCCTTATTGGCCAGTAAATCAATAGCCTTGACATTACATGTCAGTGGATCTATTTATTACAATAATCTTCAAATAGTGAAGCAAGTTTTATGTGAAGTATAAAAAAAAAATCATCTGGGAATTGGGGAATTATATACAGGTGGTGGGGTAAGAAATGATTTTAAAAGTTTGTATAATGGCTGGACCTTTAAGCAAACAATGAGTGGAAGGGGATCTTTCCCGTTTCAATGTTTCAGGATTCTATAGGAACAGCTTTAATACAAAGGCTGAATGATTAGATATTGTTACTTACTGTAGAAGAAGTCCCGGAACTCCCTGGTGTTGGCCAGGGACTGTAAAACACTGTTCATGAAGCAGGTGTTGCCCAGATTGTCCAGGCCTGTATTCCCAGGGGAGACAACTTGCTCCATTTCCTTTGCTTTGTTCATTGGTGAAACTTTACATGTAGGCTTCTAAGAAAGAAAAGCGAAGATCCGACTAAAGCATACAGCATTTTATTAGAGAAATGGTCTACAATTCAACATCACAGCTTTCCTCACCAACGCAATCAAATTTATTAGTAGAAAAGTAGTTTAATACATCACTTTGGCAATAGAATAACAAACATTTTACATTTACATTATTGCTTTGCAATTTAATCTAATTATCACTATTTTGAATTTTTTAGCTATCAAGCATTCTACAAATTCTGGTCCAGACCGGCAGTAACAGATTGGATATCTCACTGATATAAGGTGTTAACGGTCCCACTGTAGAGTGTAGACTGTACTTACCTGTGAGTTAAGGTCTCGGACTGGTTGTGACACGCCTGTGGCCCCTTTACAGGCCTCCATAGTCCTGTTGTCAGCATAGTCCCCTTTCTTGGTTGTGGACACTGTAGACAGCTCATCGAACATCACACTAGACTGGCTCCCAGAGCATGCCTTTGCCTCTTGTCCACTAGAACTGGGAATTTTTCCAGTGGAAATCCAACTATCTGATTTTGAAGACAAAGCAGTTTCTGGAGAAAAAAAGTATAACAAAATACAGAAACCTTTGATACAATTACTTTTATGCATTTCTCTGTAAAGATGTAGCTTTTGGGATATGAATTACATTTTGGTTTTGATGTTTTTTTCTTGACTGGAATAATCAGGATAATACCTGTATTTCACTCCCTTTAACTTTTCCTTTAATTAGAAGAACCTTTGTTTTTGATTAATACTATCCACAATACTGTAAACGCTATTTACGCTGGGTGAAAATTAGGCGATTTTGAAGGTCAAAACTATACGCGCAGGGGTAATTTACGTGGCCGTGGTAGACCGACTCTGCAGAGTTATTTCCCTTACTTTACAAAATGTGTACAGGTTTAAAATACTAGTAGCTACTGAGTACATGTTAGGTATGCGTACCTACTGGACAATGTACATTAATTAGTAATACGTTGACAAACCAATATTACAGGAGGACATCACACACACACATGTACCAATATCTACCAGAGTTGTTGTTCCTTTCACTATCGATTAAAAACTATACCTACGAGGGAAATTTACGCGGATGATCCAGCTCCGTGTAATCAGCGTAAATTACCTGCGTTTGTAATATTTTACGTTTACGGTATAGTTTCCATTATAATACTGGAATTCATGATTGACTCTTACCTAAATTGAAATTTATCTACATTTACACAGCTGTACTGAATGTATAGTGTAAAGTTACCTTTCCGCTGAGGTGCTTCTAAAGTGTTCCATCGCTGAGGTATCTTTTTACTCAATGAGACTTCTATCATTGTTTGAGTGATACGGAACTTTGACTTTGATGGATCAATTTCATTTCTGAAAAATTCAACACACTAGAGATTTGTTTTGTGAACAAAAACATCCACCTCCTTATTTGTAAGGACTTATTATTTAACCTTTGACCTAGAGGTGAAGGTCACCGTGACGCAAATAAAATTATTTTCAGATAATGTTACCCAATATTTTCATCATTTAACTGCTAAAAATGTACTCAATGGCAACCAATAACTATCTACCAAATCTTATGAATCTTACTTACTTCAACTTGACCTCCCAGCTGAAAATAGTATTTTCATCAGTACCTGCATGCAGTTGTAAAAATTTTGAGTTCCTGTAAAATAAAGAAACAGATTGCATTTACCAAGAAGAAATTGATAATGGAGTGCATAAAATTGTGGATGTTTATGGAATGCATTTTTGTTGAAATAATATATCTCACGAAAATTGATGAAAGACATTAGACATACATATATTAGTAGCAAAATTAAATTTATAACATTTTTCAATCAATATTTACACAAGAAATCATGGCAAAATATCAAAACTCATTAAAATTAATATTGCAAACATATCCATATACAAGCTCCATCCCTCTGGTCAAAGGATGCTTTGTAATGGCCAAGGGAAGATGTCTCCAAGGGACAGGGCCAGACCCCAGGGCTAATTCTGGTACCATGATTGTTTTTTACCTCCTGCCCAGCATGTATATACGTGTTTACATGATGGGGATCTCAACCATCTCAAACTTATGATCCATGGACTAAACAAAATATTTGCACTGCAGGTCTTTGTACATGATGTTTTAGTACCAAGGCTCTAGACCTTATGACTATTTAGATAATGTTGCTTGATGTTTTGAACATATTTGACACCAATGACCTTAAACTTTATAGCACTTTATCACTTGTACTGACTGGCCAAATTTCAGGTTCTGGACCTTGTGGAATATAAGAAGATGTTTCTTAATCTTCAAGCTTTTTACCTGTTACAACCCATTTTTACCTCTTAACCCTGTCAGTATTCAAAGTTGACCTTTGACCTGGCACAATATATCTGGTATTAGGAAAAAAGTGCACTGCTGATTTACATAACATACCAAATTTCTTGTCTAGACCATTTGGTATCAAAGAAAATGTTGCTAGAATTTTTTTAAACACACTTGACCCCTATGACCTTGAATGTACCTACTGGCTAAAAATCAATCACTAAAATGTGTGATTCTGAAAAGTATATTAGTTGACTGTAACTTACGAGGTCTGGAATAAAACTGACAGTGTCTGCACATCAAAGTAAATCTGTATACCATCTCTCCTGGCTTCCTTTACATATATGTGTACCACAATGAGATTTTCCTGTAAAAGAAATTAAAGCAACTTTAAACATTCATAAGTTTAGAATATATGATATTAGTCTGATAAGCTTAACAGTTAACACTATTAATATTTATTCAAACCAAAGAGTTCCACAGGCGCAGAACAATACATTCCTCTCTCAATGCTATGTGGCATCTACCTTACACAAACGATATATTTTAATGCTAGTTTGTTGAAAGTTGGCACTGTTTAGTATATAACCAAAATAAACCATGACCTAGGTTTTTGTGTAGGGTTCTCTCTGCTGTGTATTTACCTTTTCAATCCAGTCATGTTTGGTGTGTTGTAGCTGATAAGCTGAGCCTGAAGTAAAATATTAATTGTACTGTTAATAAAACCTGTTTTGAAGTTTTTAAGACAGTATACAAAGTAGTGGTTCACAATATCAGAAATTCATCCAAATATCTGTGGAATAAAAGGGGTTCATCTGGATACAATACTGATAAAGTCTGCATACAGATATGATGGAGGGCGAGCTTGGACCTTGATAGATGAATCATGATTCTAGTTTATCACAGAACTAATTCCGGAGTAAATGACTAATGCGCAGTGAGTGTATAGGAATGTATACAGAAGCCCTCTTAATTTAAAGCAAAGAAAACTTTAAAACATGAAACAATACATAATGTCGACATTCTGTAATCTGTATTGTTTCATGCCACATGCCTTTCCTTATTACTCTCTCGCCATATACTTATGTTACTTGCGCATCATTATTCAGTCAAACCTGCCTATCAATTCAGCATTAGTCAGCACCCATATCAAAACACGACTGTAAATATTAATATGCTCAACTAGATTCAGGAGCTGCTCCTCTTCGTTTATTTATCATCAAGAACTGTAAAAACCTTTTTTTAAGGAACCCTAACAATATTTTTCTGTAACTTCAATTTTTCATCATTCAAACACTAAAGAGCCTTAATACGTATATAAATATATCATATTAAACAGATTTTCCACCTACTGTTTATATTTGTGGTGTCCTCGGAGGGTGACGACTTGCCCATGGTTTCCTTGGCTCCTTTCTCTTCCTGTGGTGATTCTGCATTATCAGAGCTATTGCCTGGGATCTCCAAATCAAGCTTCTCCTCAGCTTTCCTGTTGTCTCTTACATCTTCATCAGGTATGCTATTTGGAATCTAAAATGTAGTTGGTAGACAGTTATCAAAATTGAAAATTAAATATTGAATTTGATATTTTTACTTACCAATAGTCTAAGAAACACCAACTCTAATGCATTTTAGTACCAAAATGACTGGTTGCTGTCGATATTGAGCAGACAAATCAACAGTGCCATATTGAAGTGCTTCAAGAAGTTAATTACGAAAAGGTGGTAGCTAAGACAGGTTTGAATGTACCTTTATGGTAATAAATGTTGAACTATACCTTAAAAAGTTGGACTGCCTTAATATTATGTATGATGGATGACTAAATAAATGCTACAATAGCGGATTTAACACAACAGTCTCACAAACAGTGCATAATACGTCTGCAGATATGATTGCTAGAGTCAGATTATTCATCTTACAAAATATTATGCAACAGTGATGGAAGTAGAGCTTGTAGGTGCTTATACAGATTTACCATATAAGACACCCAATGTCCAGCTTCTTTTTTCTTTGCATGCAAAACAAGCTGCCTGTTTTTGAAGTAGAGCCTGCAAGAATCTCCTTGTACATGTCGGAAAAAGTTACAAGACCATGTCTGTCCATCTAAAATGAAAATAAACAAAATATGCTTTTTACATAGACTTATTCAACTGTGGGATATATCAATCTATATTAATGGTATTTGAAGAATGTTATAATTATGATATTTTGCTTGTAACATTTGAATATGAAAATTTCATATTATTATTTCCATTTCAAACAGAAATCACAATCCCTTACATCATGAAAAATTTCCACTTTCAGATAATTGGAATTATCAGTCATTCTAACCATTCAGAGAAATAATTTGTCAATGTGATGCTATAATAAAATATTTGTTGTGTAATAAATGTCACAGTTCACTGTCTCACAACATCACTCGGACAAAAATCATAAACCTAACACATGTTATTCACGACAAGCCTATGTTTGGTGTAAGAGCTTATCCCTTGATAAACAGGTATCGCATATCAAGGTCACATGAACCAAACTATTTCTGCAACTTCAGTGAACACACCCAGTGCTAATTTGACGCCTATTTCTACACCCCATCATGATCATGAGAACAACTTTGTAGGGTGAACCCTTATATTAATGACTTTTGATAAAGACTTTTTATATATGAGTTCTTATTTGACAAACCTGGGAACTTCAAATGGGCGTCAGTGTCTGTAATGGTTGGGTCCACACCATTTAACTGTTCTGGTTTGAGATCAATGTTCAAGAGGATTTTTAAGTCTGTGTCAGTTTGCAAAAACTCTACATCCATATCAACTGCAAATAGATTGAAAATAATCTTCAGGCCAGGTGACCTAAAAAGCATATATAGTAGTTATGTTTCATAGCTTTAATCTTTCAGAAGAACAGTTGATTGATCTAGAGGTTTAGTCCACTTTCTTCATTTAGATGATACATAACACATATCCATAGAATAATCGGGAAAAAAACAACACTTTTTTTCAGACTTCTACAAAAGTTAATTAAGTTTCTAAATTGTGACAGAACATTGCAACCTAACATTTCAAAATCTATGATAATGATTTATTTATTTTAGCAGAGGAGGAATACAAGTGTAACAGGAAAGAGAATAGTGTGCTTCCACCGGGGATCGAACCCTCGATCTCCAGGTTCCTTGTCGGACGCTCTTCCACTAAGTTAAAGGGAAATTCCCTCTAGCTCAAAGCTAGAAGGCGACCTTAATCATATGTACAATTTAAATCTGTCACACTACTCCCCCCTTTTTAAATGTGTTCGCCCTTGAACACCACAACCCAGGTTCTAACTCCCTGTCACCACAGGGAAGGCCACAGACACCATTTGTAACAGGAAAGAGAATAGTGTGCTTCCACAGGGGATCAAACCCTTGATTTCCAGGTTCCTATTCGGGCGCTTTAGCTCAAAGGCCACCTTAATTCTATGTACAATTAAAATCTGCCACACCAGCATCCATTTATATATAGCTAGAGATTGGCATCCTGAAAATTACAATGGTTACCCTTTAAATTCAAATGTTCTCTGCACCCCTTGAATAGATAATGACGAAATTAAAGGCTCTGTATGCACCACCTTGTGGATACGACAAGTAGATTAGTGTGATCTTTATGTACATCCAAAGAATCATGTAGCAGTGTAACAGTAAAATTGACCAGCTTTGAAGTCGGCTGTCACTCCTCTGTGATCTTCAGAGGACAGGTATCAGCCTTCTGATTGGTCAGGTTTTTTTCACCTGAAATCAAAAAGCTTACTGCCTGCCTTTGAATCTTTGATTGTATTGTACCACAACATATTCCAGGGATGCAGAGAAAGTGTGAGCATAGCCTGTAGAATTTGGAGGATGAAGAGTGAAGGTTCATGGTTTTAATCTTGGTAAAGTCACTAACATTTTCTCATCATATATTGCATAAACATTTTAAAACAACACTAGGAATACATCAATAGCACTAATGATGAAAATAATATGTTACAGAAATTCTTCTTCCTTATGGTTTAAAACTGTAAACCTTTAGCTTTTGTCAAATATTGTTTCATGTTGTGCAAAAACATGCTTGCAATATCAAAAGCATACATACATTTTTTTTTTACATTTTTCATATACCTAATTTATATGATGTAGAATACGTGCAATAAGATTAATTTGGATATCAAACTATTAAAAAGAAACGCTCAGTATTCCACCTGAGCGAGATCAGATATATTTTGACAGCTCATTAACATTTTTTTCAGTAATCCAAATAAATGCATTGAAACAGGAAATTCATCATAACCCCTCACTTTCTTTCAGTTCTGGATGTCCCTCTCGTTGATTTTCGATTTCTTTTTTGCGTTTTGACAGATTTAGGGAAGCAGTCGGTTCTTGTCTTGTCTTGAGTGTGTCTTTGTTTTCTTGGACTTGTGCTCCGTCAGTATCGGTGTTCTCTGTACTTGAGGCCATTGCAGACTTGTTCTTGCATTCGGTCTCTGTGCACACCTCTGGCGTGTGCCTTCTTTTCCTGGGATTTTGATCTATTTTTGACAGTTTGTCTTTCGATTATAAACTATAACGTGAAAAGCGTTCCACTGATCAGTTTTAGATTCTTCACAAGTCATTCACAACTGTCAGGTCGACCGCATGGTAGGTGAATATTAACCTATCAAATGGTGTCTTTCAATAACACAATTTATTTATGTCCAATCAGCGTGTCTGTTACATTAACCTTTCAGAAATTTTACAAAGATGGCGGAAGAAGCAGGTAACTGTTCAACTTGACATATTTAGAGGAGATATGTGCTAATGTTAGATCGTGTTGCAGTATATCATTATCCTGCAGTGAAAATGTAAATTATGATGAGAATAATCCGTACAAAAACACCATTTTTAGACCATTTCTTCATGCATTAACCCAGTGCAACATCAAACCGAAAATGAAATATATCTGTGTACACTAGCAGAAAATTAGCCGGTAAAATTCTTTCAATAATCAGTTTGGCTGGTTTTTTCCCCCGTCGATAGATGTTTGTTGATATGCATTTCATACCGAATTGTCGGATGGAATATGTTTATTATAAAAATAGATGTTATTATATGTTTGTTTAAATGACAAACTTTTAGGGAAATTAAGTGCAACATGTTTTCACTTTGCTTAATTGTATCTTTTGACTTGGATAGTTTAGAGAGATTATTGAAGTCAGGGTTAATTGGTCTTGTGAAATTCTGTTGAACATTCATCAAGTCCATGTCCAAGATATGGAGGTTTCAGGTACAAAGTCTGCCTGTTTAAATTCATATCAAATATCAATTACATATCATAGTGTTGGAACATTCCTGGTGATATGATCTGTTCCTAAAAAATGTTTTCTTTTGTACTTTATAAACATGCTTTAGAAGAGCTAGGACTGACTCAAATGACCATCTAGTTTAAATCAGGTGCAAGCTTCATGGCAAATGTTCAAGGTTATAATCAAAAAGGCTGGTAATGGCCCATCTACTGGACTGAACAGCATATAAACCTCCCAGTTGATGTTTTCCCGGTCCTTTATTATACTTCCACAAATGAAGTTTGGGGTATATAGGAATCGCCCTGTCCGTCCATCTGTCAATGAACCACGTAAGCAACTCCTTGTATTACTGTTTGTTGGATGCACTCCTTTAGTAATTAACTTGGCATGGTGAAAGAACATCATATGTAGATGTGCACAAAGAAAGAAATTTGCAACTTGATTATGTTTCTGGGAGTTATAGCCCTTGAAACTTTAATTTCTGCCCCAGACAATTCTTCCTTAACTGTGTGTTGGATGATTTTGTAACTTGGCACAGTGAAAGTACATTGTATGCAGATATGCATACAGAAAGGAATTTCTCATTGGGGTATTGTACCCCTGAAAACGTTGAATACCTAGAGAGAGCTTGCAAGGCGTGCATTGCAACTTGAGAAAAGTGTTGAACCATTTTTAATACTTCAGTCAGCAGTTACCTTTTTGCAATGTATTGCCCATTTCTGTAAAAACAAAAGGTAGTTTTTTTATTTATCTAAAATTACAAGACATTTTTACTTTTGAATAAAAAAATGTTTATAAATACTTCTTGTATAAAAAAAAATCTTTCTTTTTTAATTCTTTTTTAACCTTTGATATTTTGACATTTTTGGAGTAATGTCCCTTTACATTACCGCACCCATGTACTGATAGATTAAATTGAAACTTTGTACCTTTGATCAGCATTGAAATTACATTACAAGTTGACTTGCAGTTCTAGTTCAGTATTGTAATGCACATTTCCAAGAATGGAATAATATGAGTTATGTATATATTTTATTGCCAAGAAATAAAAAATATTTATGTAAAAGTACTAATTTACGTCAAACAAATCTTCAAGATAGGTTTGAGCCATGAAACAGTTATTATTAACACTCCATCTTTCCATTTTTTTTTATTTTTTTTTGTAGAATTGGAGTTGGAATCTGAAAGTGATACAAATGCAAGTGCTATTGGAACTAGAATTGTGAAGAAAAACATTTCCATTAAGTTGAAGCAGCCTGCTAAAGCTACCCGTGGTCGCCCTAGAAAAGGTTCCAAGGTGACCCGCTCTACTGCAAAGAAAGAAGAAATTGTAGAGAAACCAGAGACAGGTGACCAAGGTAGGAATCAATGATTTCAATGTTGTCCATCACTTCATGAAACATATGTTAGTTATTTGAAAATCTAGAAAGTTAACAATCTATACCCAGTCTTTTTTTTGCTCAGACTGCCGAATACAGTTTTCCCTAGATAAAATTGCATTATTTTCCAAAAATGACCCAAAACTATGTATACTAAATATATTCCAAATTTCAATACCAATAAATTATAATCCTCTATTTTTCCAATTCAGAAAGGAACAGGCTGTTGTAAGATTTAGGTACCCAACAAAAACACTGATTTATTATCTGAGGATGGATATTTTGGAGGCCTGTAATGAGACATTTCACAAATTTTGATTGAACTTGCAGTATTAAAAGAAAATTTAGATGAAGAAATAAAACAGAATACATTACACATGAAACGATTCATTTTGTATCTCAGAAATATGTTCAGTGGTTAAATACACCAAGTAAATGAAGGTAATAAAATTACAAGTTAATCAAGCTGTTTGCTCACCATCATATATGCTCTATTTTGCTGGAAAACATTGAAAACCTAGTCAAAGGTCTACATTACAATATGTGAATAATCCTTTTCATTCAACTTTGAAGCTGGAAATGATGCTATAATAGACGCCCCTATATTTAAGCAGCCAGCCAGAGAGCCTGTTCACCAGAGCCAGCCCCTCCAATGGAACCACAAGGTGTGTTTAATCAGACAAACTGAATTGAATGGATGAAGTGACTGCAGTGAAATGTTTCTTCAGAAATCAACATTATTACTATGATGTGTCTAAAAAAAACTACTGTATACATTTAGCTTCCTTTATTGGTTTTAGTAACTACAGTTTATTTTTCGAAAAGTGTTTTGTGAATTTGTGATATTATATTAAAATTGTCTCAGATGATGTGCTCCTTGACCGTTTAACAACATTTACACAATTTTTAAAAAGAAATTCCAAAGGATCGGCTAAACCCAATATTTTATAATATCACATTTAGTCAGAGCATTTATAGTTGAAGTACATTGTATGGCATATAACTAGTACTGGACTTACTCCCATTGTTTGGTTGTAGGTTAACCTTATTGGAGAGAAGGTGGTGGACCCTCTAGTACATTGTTGTGAAAAATGTCTGCTGCCCATACTTATATATGGTAGAATGGTAAGATGATCATGTTGATAAGATGTGTACATCTTTAAAACACTCTTTTTTTTTTTACCAAAATAATGGTTAGCTGACTTTGTAATTGCTGGTGCTATGACAAATCAATTCAATAACATGTTTTCGCTGGTATTAATGAAAATCCAGTACACAAATTGGACAGAAAATAATTGTTTCAGCCCTGATATAGATGTTATGATTATTTTATGTATTTTTAAATCAGTTTATTCTAAAATCAGTACAACCTGAAGGAGAACTAGAACACATATTAAATGAATGATATACAAGATAACGGAGGCTAAACAATTTGTAACAATATTGTGTGTCAGAATTCATGTTTTCGCAAGTATAAGTGAAGCTTAAGTACACAAATTGGACAGAAATTTAGTATATTGTTGTAGCTCTGATTATTTTCTCTTAAATGTACATTATTTCGTGTACTTTCAGATACCCTGTAAGCATGTGTTCTGTTTTGATTGTGCAAAACAGACAGAGAAAACATGTCCAAGGTAAAAAAAAAAATGGTTTAGCACTGTAAATGTTGACTTTGAACCTTCCTTGGTGGAGTGCTAGTGAATAGCATTGGCTATCAATTGTCGATACCCATTACAATCCACATACATCCCACGACAACCGGAATTTTAGAAAGTTGATTTTAGCATTTTATCATAATTAGGTCAATCATATATTAATTTTCAATTTCATACCAATACACTGGTTGAACTAAGGTTTTCAGTAAATAACATTGTACACAGACAACATTCATTATTACTTACATTTTATTAGTGACGCGAAGGATCTGAATTTAATGGAATAAGAAAAGGCCTCTCAGACTAAGAGTATTATTTTTCATTTCAGATGTGAAGACCCTGTGCAAAGGATAGAACAATCTGCCCTGGGAACAGTATTTATATGTACGTACGAGAGTACAAAACATGGCCGGGCAGGTTGTCGTCGGACATACCTCTCGCAAAGGGACCTTCAGGCTCATGTCCTTCATAGACACATTCGACCCGCAGAACTGAGTGCTAAGATGAGTGGAGAATCTTCTAGAGATTCTCATGGAGGGTCGGAGTCTTCTCATCGAAGTAGTCAGTCATTAGACCAATACGCAAGCTCCTCATCCAAACAGAAGCATATGTCATCGTTAGAACATTACTCAACCTCATCTGGGAGACATGTCGAGGGATCACACAGCATGTCGTCAAGGTCAGGTGGGGATGACACATTGTACCGTGAAGACAGGGTTAGCCGTGTGATGTCACAAATTCCTGCTCATACCCAGCCCCTATCTTCTCAGCACAACAATGTCATGTCTGTGAGTCAAGCCATGATTCCACATAGCCAGCCTCCTTCCCAACTTCAGAGCATGGGTATGCCACCACAGCAACTGCCGGTGTCATCACATGATGGCTATCAGATGTCCAGTATACCAGCCATGTCTGGAGGAAGGACTAATTTGATCACCGTTCAACTGCAGGATGATACAGACTTTAGGAGACGCGAGTCTTACATGGCACCTCAGACTGGAGTTATGCCCCCTGTTTCATTTTCAACTTCAATCCCCCCTCCAGGACTACCACCCCCTCAGTTTGCATCATCAACAATGGCTCCGTCCATGCATCAAGGTCCACCTCCTGTTTCTTACACTACACCCCAGGTGAATCAGGGAGTGCCATCCCCCTTCTCCTCCCCAACTGTAGGACAGTCATCTTTAGTGTCTGGCATGCCCAATTCCTCTGTATCACATCCTCCCCCAGGGCCAGTCCCTCCACCCCGAGTTAATGTTCCACCCCCTGTATCACTCCATGGACTTCAGGCAGGACCCCCAAGGATGAACATGCCCCCTGGTCCTGGTCCTGCTCCACAAACACATCTCCCCACTGGCCAACCTCGTTATCCTAATCCTCATGGACACTTTGATGAAAATCAACAAAATTCTCCCTTTGGACCTGGACAAAACCCCCGAGCACCTTGGACTGGGCCTCCACAGAGGCCTCCCCCTCCCCGCCCAGGAAACGCCCCCATGCATCCCCCTCCTCAGAGACCACAATCTGACTATGGCCAATTCTACTGAAGGTTGTACTTGTACTAGCTTGTGTTTAAAAGTGTTGTTTACAGATAGTCATTAATGTGTAAAATCATAATTACATGTATCAGTTGAAAATTTTGTTTATTTGTCATATTTTATTTTTTTCATAACAAAATGCTTGTGCAGATGTATATTTTCAGAACTTACAGAGTTAAGAATGCTATTGATAAAGTTGATCTTTATGAAATACCAGTTCAGATTTATAATACTAGTTTGGGTAGGTATGTTTTAATACCCATTTGTTCATTACAAACGGCACTAGACCTAAATTTTAAGATAGTTTTGAAACCATTCACTCTGGTCCTGAAAATGACAGAAATGTTTGCCATATTGTATATTTTCTGTATTTATTATGTTAGTATATTGGGATGTTAAGACATACTGTCCTTCGTCATCTTGAACATTGCTATTTGCAGAGAAGTCATTCAAAGATATCCAACAATGCTGGATATTTGACAGAAGATTGATAAAAAATGAATGTTTTTATTCTAAATATAGTAGTTTTATTGAGATCATTAGGCTATTATCAGTGTTAGTTGTACTGTTCAATTGTTCATGGAAAATATGAAACATCATTAGTTGTGTGACTAAAAAATTTTGCAGTGAATAACTAGATGTATATAAAATATAAAAAAAATATATTAGCAACTCACAAATTTATCTGTACATGTATTCAAATTCAATGGGTAATATTCCATGAACTAAAGATTGGTTTATTTGTTTTAAGATTTTATGAAAATAGTTGAAAAGAAATTGAAGAAACTGATTATTATATTACAACCTGTTACATGATCTAATAAGACTTTTTCAATGATTGCGCTAAAACATGTTTAAAGCAAAAAAAAAAAAAGGGGGGGGGGGGGGGGGGGACCTAAGTTAATATATATGTTGTAAGCAGAGTTTGTTTTGAAAATGTTTGGAAAACACTAAAGGGCTATTCCAGTTGTGATAACCGGTCTAAAGAAAACATAAATGTGAGGGTTGGTTCCCTCTCCCCACATATTTGTTCCTGGAAAATCTGTAAGAAATGTGTAACTATTTCAAGGTACCACACTTTTTTGCACAAGTAAAATATGGTATGCATGCTGAATTAACATGTTCTTGATTATTTAATACTTGATAAATGACGATATTTGGATACCCACTGTTATTTTTTTCATGCTAACATTTTTATGACCGATGAGATGATGGCTTTCAAAATCACTGTAGCACTGAACAAAAGGGGGAAAAACATAGAACCAGGTACAAAGTATTTGAATATGCAGTTCATTTTAAAATATGTCACATGTCAATGTAATGAAGTAAGTGAGTTTGAGCGGATTGAATTGAAACCGCCAGGGTACAATTATCTCCCTTTATCATTATTTATATCCCAGAGCACAGATGTTGACATCATATCTTCTTCAGAGTCATGTTTTAAATCAATGTATAATTAGATTTTGCTGAAGTTGAAATGTCATAAGGAGAACTTAAAAGATTTCTGATGGCTGCAGTGGCTAAAAGACAAGGTGGAAGGATCATTTTGTTAAAATCTACAGTAAATTTGTAGTAACAAGTGGAAACCTTCACCAAACTTGCTACATTCTTCTTAATCCTTTCACCCCTTTGTAACTTTAGTAGACTCCACCATGCATTGATATAGATGAGTCCATTATTGTCTACGGTGGTGAAAGGGTAAGGGGCTTTTGAGATAGAAGGCTAAAATATCTAGGGTCAAGTTTGCAAAGTGATTCATTTGAAATTCTGTTAAATTTCATGGAACACTAATTTCTGTCATACTGAATATTACTTAAATTGTTATGTTGGTCAGCAAGACCATAAGTATGATTTCAAGGTTACAGACTGAAGGTCAATGGAAATGGTTGCAAAATAGTTTGATTAAAATGAAATAGAACATCACTGTCTTTGTTTCATAGGATAAGTGTACGAATAAAATGAAAGCAAATTTATGCTGTAGTTAGGAATGCAAGTTCATAAGGATCAATTTTATATCCTATTTTTCCTGCATCAGAGTACAAGAACAACATATTACAGCCATTATCTGAAGTTATTCATATAACATTGCTACATCTTTACATAGTCCGTGTTCATAAAATAATTTTGATCAATGTTGGTGAATCATTGAGAAAATAATTGACGTGTTATGTTCTGATAATAACAATTAAAGGGACACTTATTGTTTGCATTGTTATATAGGCTGGTGGAAAGTGGCTCATGAATAAATCATACTTAAAATAATTGCATCTGTTGGTTTTATCATTTTCCAGAGAGGTTTGGTGTTTGTAGGAAAGAGATATTACTGTATACAAGGAAATCGTCGCCCTTCGATAGGAAAACCTATCTTTTTTCATCCACTACTTAATTTGCCCTTCTCATTTAGATTCAAGATGCATTATGTTGTTGATTAGTGTAATGATAATTTTGCCTTATTACAGATGGCGAAAATTCAACTGCATCAAACAATTTCCCTGTATACAGTAATCGCACCTACATTTATGCAATATTAAACATTCTTAAACAAGGGATGCTATTTTGTAGTTAAGCAACACATTATGCATTTATTGCCTTTGTACGAGCTTAAGTTGAATTTGTTTTCTGAGAATATACTGTAATTAATGTTCCCCCAAGCAATGACCAGTGGCCTTGTGCTGCTGACCTAGAGATTTTAAGCAATCATGTGACTTTCCCGTTAAATATGATATTGCAAATATTTTCCCATTGCAGGCTCAGCATCCAGGAGGACAGCAGCAGACTCCAAATGTTGGTTTCATTCATACCTCTACACTATGCTTATTTGTTCAATAAATTGTCTCTGGTAGTTGAGGTCAAGCTCAAATATTTGCATATTAATCATTTTTTTACAAGACCGGCTGCTTGACCATGATGCACTATCTTCACATCAAGTCTGACATAAATGCATTAAACGATAGCCAAGAGATGCCTTAGAAAACTACTGGGTTTTGCACTTTATTTTATTTTGCGAGGTCAAGGTCAAAGGTCAAATAGAGGTCACAGTGACCTCATTTTAAGAGGCTACACACACCTTCCTTTGAGGTACCTATATGTAAAATGTGATGCCTATTCATGAATCAGCAGCTGTGATTTGCTCCAGAAACTTATATTTAATACTTGATCATGAGGTCATAGTCAAAGATACAATAGAGGTCATTCTGACCTCATTTTAGTCTGTTCATACATTTGAAAGTGTGATGCCCATTCATGAAACTGGACGAGATTTGCTCTGGAAACCAGTTGGCATGCACACATGCACAAAGTGAATACTATTTACCCCCAACTTTGTTAAAAGCAAGGGTATAAAATTTGGCACTTCATAATGATCTAGGTAGTTCTCTCAAATTCTGGTTGTTAACCTAATGACCCATGTGACATTCAAAGTGGGCCAATGTCATTTATATAGAGGAAACTCTATAGCACTCTACCCTAGGTACCTACTGGTCAAATATCGGACAATTTTGAACTTCAGAAAATCACTAATGTTTTATCCATAAAAGCAAATATTAACTTGTGACGTCAGCCTGCACCTATAAAACTTTGCTTTTTACCTTAATACAATTTAATAGGAAAATATTAACACTACTGAACTACATATTATACATAAGTATCATGGCTCTAGATCTTGTTTTTTAGAAAATGTTGCTTAAATTTTTTAACCTGGGTGAAAACTGACCTTATATAGTTCAAGGTGAAGTATCTAAGGAAACTTTTAAGTGGGCCATTCTAAGTCTCTACAAGCCAAATATCAGGACTACAGGGCTTTTGGTTTTAATATATGCCACACCATGGGAAAAGTTCACTTGCCATTTGGAAATGTTAGCTAAAAGACCCCTGTGACCTTGAAAAAAGGCGGTCTTTTTATTTTTCAAATTTTGTAGCATCCCTGTCAGGAAATTACTGGCCGTAAAAGCAAAGTATTTTGGTTCTTCAGAAGATATATGAGTATTTAAACATTTTAACATTCAAATACTGCACTATGTATTAAAAACTTCCTCCTAGTGTCCAAAATAATGGACAGATTTTGTTTTCTGTTGCAAACTTTTTGTTACATTACATAATAGAGTTAATCTAAACAATACTAACTCATTCAAATTTCTAACAAATTTGGTTACAATTGCCCTTGGAGTTCTTGAGAAGAAGCACAAGGGAAAGTTTACAGAAACACAATGGTTGTCAACAGATTGCAAAAGCTCTTATAAAAGCTGGATTGATTTTTCTCAAATTTTGGTCCATAGTTGTGTATATTTAAAGACTGATTAGACGAACAAGATTGACACCAGTCAACCATCTTTGATTTTGAAAGTTCAAATTTGTTGTCCCTTTTTCTCGAGAAGTACTCTAGAAGAAATCTTTCTCAAATATCTGAAATAGATTTCTCTTATTGATCCCTAACTGCACATCCAAGACTATTCAGAGAAGGCAGAGTATTGCAAGGCAATCCATAGTTCCCCACCGGTAATGATTTTTTATATTTAACAAACAGTACACTTATGTCAGGAAGTATAGGTCACAGTGAGGATAAAGTGACCTAATTCTTACACTAGTTTGACTGCATCATTCCAAGATGTCCTTGTACACTAAATCTGGTTACTCCAGGGGAAATAGTATAGAAGATATGCCCCGGACAAACATTTTCAAAAGTGAAGGACAAAGGTCAAGTCATAGGTCACAGTGACCTTATTCTTGCACTCTGCCATCCAAATCTGGTTACTCCAGGTGAAATAGTATAGAAGATATGCCTCAGACAAACTTTTTCAAAAGTGAAGGACAAAGGTCAAGTCATAGGTCACAGTGACCTTATTCATGCACTCTGAACTCCGCCATCCAATTCTTGGACGGAAGGGCAGATGAAGGGCAAACCTCCAGCCCTATAACCCCCCCGATGGGGGGACTAAAAACATGAGGGCCAACGGGCAGCCCTCTTGAATTTTGACAGTTAAAGATTGTAATCGGTTTTTTCCCAGAAAGTGCTGGAGGAATTCACATTTTGTTCCTGTTGGTCTTCGTTTGTACATGTTTAATTTTGAGACTGACCTAAAGGTAAAGATTTCCAAAAGACAGCAATCTTCGATTTTGACAGAAGAAAGTTTTGCTTTATCTCGAGAAGTCTTGGAGGAAGTTTTTACCAATGAATGTTTAGGTTCCCCTTGGTCCTAAGTTGTCCTTATTATCCCTTCGCAATGAAAGTTTGAGGGGATAAAGGATTCTGCCCTTACATACATACCTATGTTACACTCTTTGTCATCGCTCTAGCGACTTTATTCCTCACATGAAACTTTATACAAGTGTTTAGTATGACAATACCTTGTACAAGTTCGCATTTCTGATTACTATGTTGAAGGTAAAGGTCACTGCTATTATTTTTAGAAACACTTTGTCATAGCTCTACCGTCTTTATTCCTAAACAGAATTTCATTAAACTTGATACCAGTGTTTAGTATATAACAATTTCTTGAACAAGTTCGTGCTTCAGATTACTGCTTTTAAGGTCAAGGTTACTTTTACTATTTTTACAAATAACTTTGTCATCGCTCCATGGACTTCATTCCTCAATAGAGTTTCATGAAACTTCCTTCAAGTTTTTGGTATGGCAATGCCTTGAACAGCTTCTTCTTTCAGATTTCTACGTTGAAGGTCAAGGTCACTACTATTATTTTTAGAAAATCTTTGTCATCCCTCTAGCGACTTCATTTCCTCTTACATGTCACAATGTGTGAATGCGAGGGGATTTGTATCACTTGTGTTGCCTTGCTTAATCTTCAGACTGATTGGAATACCAATAGGTTTACTAGATGGCTAGCCCATTTTGGATTTAAACTGTTATTTTTTTAACTCCTATTTCA